TCAGTTTTCTTACTCGTTGGACTATCGGTTTAGCCGATCTATCAACGTTCAGTTTATGGCAAGTGACCTCGGGGTCAATGCCAGGCATTTCGTAGGGCGTCCATGCGAACACCTCAATATTTGCTCTCAAGAAAGCTTCTATCTCTCTTTCTTTTTCTTCGACTAGGCTCGAGCCGAGAAGAAGAAGCGTTCTTCATCCCCCTCTTGGACGAGGATTTTCTTCAGTGTTTCTTCACTCTTTTCGGCCGGCTCCTTGCCGACATCCTCTAGGACCTCCACGTCCTCGTCTTTGATTTATGCCTTCTCTGGTTTTCGAATGCTGCAGGTGGATTTCATTGCTGCCATGAAGCAACTCTTTGCCTGCAGCTGATCTCCTCTGACTTCCTCGATCCCATACTCTGTTGGGAACTACAATAGTTGATACAAAGTTGAGGGAACAACTCTCATTGCATGCAACCATGGCCTTCCCAAAATGATGTTGTAAGGGGAGGGTGTGTCAATTACGGTGAACTCTGTTGTTATCTTCCTGGTGCCTGCCTGCACCTCCAAGCCAGTTGTTCCCAGTGGCCATGTCGGCGTTCCATTAAACCCGACCATTGGGCTATTGGATTGCTCCATGTCGTCTGGGTGAAGGCCGAGCTCCTTGTAACATCGGACGTACATGATGTCACAAGAGCTGCCTTGGTCAATTAGGATGCGCTTTACTTGGCATTCCCCAACCTAGAGGGATACTACCAAGGCATCATTATACGAATGCTGCACCATCTCAAGGTCAGCTTCAGAAAAGGACACTACTGGTTCTTGGCACTCCTCTGCCCGATGTCTCTTCTCTCCGACTTGGTAGACATGCTGCAAGTGCTTCACCATTTGGGTCTCCCTCCTAATTTCGTTCTTGTTGACCTTCGAGTAAATTACATTAATTACCCGAGGTCCTTCTGCCTGAGGTTGCTGTGCTGGAGGAGGCGGAGCTGCTAGTGCCTGAGACAGTCTTACATGTTCTTTCCTTGTTTTGGCTTCATCAACAAGGTCTCTCAGATGGCCTTGTCTCACCAGGTCTTCCAAGTGTGTTTTCAGGGCTCTGCAGCCCTGAGTCATATGCCTGTTTTCATTGTGGTAAGCACAATGTCTACCAAGGTTTCTTCCCATAAATTCTCCTGGAGCCCTTGCTGGTGCTCTGAAATAGGGTTGATTCCGAATTTATTCCAGGACTTTGTGAATTTGGATTCGGAACACAGTTGTCACTGCCTGTACAGCCCTCAGTTCTGTTTCTGGTTTGCTCGATCCATTGTTACCTCGTTTCGGCGAGCCGTTTCCTTTCTCTTGCTTTGTTTCCTTAGTCCCCGACGTGTCTTCCTTGGCTCTGGCATATTTCTCGATTCTCGCCATGAACTCTTCTATGCTTTTTGGCAATGTTTTTGCCAAAGACTTTCGAAATGGACAATTGTCTTTCAGGCCGTTCTTGAAAGATACGACCACCACCTCTTGATTACATTCTGGTATTCGGTTGAATACCTCATAGTATCTTTTTGCATAGGCCCTAAGGCCTTCATCCTTACTGATCTTCAAAGCCATCAATGCATCCACCCGCAATGGCTGCTGCTTGTTTGTTACGAACCTGGCCACAAACATCTCGGCCAGGCCTTCCCAAGTCTTCATGCTTCATTTTGGTAATTTGTGGAACCAATCTGATGCAATCTCCCCAAAGGATGAGGGGAACACTTTGCAGAGCAACGACTCGTTCCCATTATACAATGCCATTGAGTTCAAATATAATTCAACGTGGAAGTTGGGGTTTGACTTACCATCGTATATTTGAAACCTTGGCATACTGAATCTTTTTGGCGCCTCAAACCTGTCCAACACCACCGAGAATGGTGTCCTCGGCTTATCTGGGGAAGTTACCTCGGCATCGGCATTCTATTGTTTCCTCTTGAGGTAACCTCTTAAGTCCTCTTTTGTCCGCCTAGGAGCTCAGCTATCTCCTGCTTTTAGTCTTTTTGGTGCACTACTCTCAGTTTCGCAGTGAGTCCTCTTCGACCCTTCTCTATGAGTTGTATCGAAGTACAGTGCCTGCCCCTGAACATGCCGATGTTCTTTGGGGTCTGCCTCCTTTGTGCGATGCGTCCTCCGTGATTCTTCTCTTCTTGACTCTCTTCGTCCGACCTCCTCGAAAGGTCGGTGAGAGTATCTTTCGCTTCCGTTGTGCTGAGGGGCTACGGGGATTGTTTTCTGCCCTCTCTTCTGGGCATTGGCCGCTGGAATCGGCGTGTCCTGCAGTAGGAACGGTGGCTGCATGACGTTATTTTGCATCGTGAAATTGACGATTGACTGCAGGTTTGCCAATTTGTTTGCCATCTCTTTTACTTCTTCGTCCCTTCGCAGGCATCTATCATTCCATACCTGGAGGTCATCCTCATTGTAGTACCCACTTCGATCTGGCTTTTTTGGTGCGTCACCATCCTGGCTGATGTCTTTCTTGCTGTGATTTTGGTCACGAGTTTCTGTGTTGTGGTTGTCTCCTTCGACGTCAAGGTCGATAGGTCTGCCATTCCCAGCAGGAGTGTCGTCCCCAATCTTTTCCTTCTGTCCGTTACTGGCCATCTATTCTTATTTCTTTTCCACAGATGGCGCCAAATTGTGTGAGTGATTTTCTGATCACACTGCCCAACTCAGTATTCAGTTGGAGAGAACTGGCAGAATAGATGACACCTGGTTTACCTGCAACAGAAAGAGAAGATTCCGGCGGTGGTTCGTCCACCCGGGGGCCCTCCGACGATCAAGTCAGTATATCTCTCAAAGATAATCAACAGTGCTAAACTCACTGTTCAGAATATAAAATTCGTACCTTAGACCCATGGGGGCGCTTCTCTTTTATAGCCAACACAATCCTTGTCCCAACAGAAGCCTAGCTTCAATGGACTCTTGCTTAGTGCTTTACCTAGACTCTTAAAGAGATAAAGATAAACTCCTTAAGAGCTTTATCCTTATCCATGCTAAAGTCCTTCCTCATTCTAGGACTCTTGTCTCTTATCCGTTTATCTCGGATTCCGATATCTTCGGAGATAACCTTGGCCTTGCCGAGATAACCTCGGCAGCATAACCTAGGCACGTGGCACCTCGGCTGACACGTCAGCGTCATCTTGGCCACGTGTTAGGACTTAAGAAATATATCCCTACAATAGGTAACTGAGAGTTAACTAATAAGAGATTTTTTAATTGTTTAAAAATATAAAAATTAAGGAATTTAATATTAAGGATTGGTTGGGAATAAGTTATTTTAGTAATTTTTTTATTAAAATATGAGGTGAAAAGAATTAGTATGTTTGAGTTAATTTTTTATATTTTTTATAAAAAGAGAGAAAAAATTAAAATTTTGACTTTTTTATATAAATATTTAACTTTTAAAATTTTTTTAATAATTTTTTAAATTTTTTTAGGCATCCCTATGTTTTAGATAGTTCTTCTCGTTTAAAATACCCCTTTGCTAGATAGTATAGATATAGATATGATGGGATTAAGAAAAATAATAAGGTCAAGTTTGACTAATTTAAAAAAGTGCATTTATTTCATCTTTTTATCTTTTTTAGGTCACATCAATCAACATCTCATCTCTACTTTTTTTATACATAATATAAAAAAAAAGTTAAAAAGTACACTTATTTAGTCTTTCCAAACTTGGCTAAAAAAAAATTTGACAAATGGCTAGTAATTTAATTCACTACCCACACTGAATTGTTAGTCCACAGCCATAAGGTCCCACTTTTGACTCCGTCATCATCTCGTCCGTCCGTTTTAACTCTCGATCTCTGACACGTAAGCTCAAAACCGAGAAATTAGTTAACAAACCGAGACGGTTTCTTAACCTGCACTCGTATCGTCTAACAGATTCACACTCTCACCAACAGCGCGTGACTCTACAAAATCCATCAACACCTGTTGGTAACATACAAAACAACACGTGTCACTACAACAACAACATATACCCGATAAATGAGAAGTTATTGGTTGGTTTTACCACAACGTTTCCTGAGACCATCTCCAACGGTGAACCAAACCTGACATCAAATTTAAAATTTGGTGAAAAAGTCATTTTTTTAAACTCCAACGGTTTTACCAAATCGATATCAAATCCAGAATTCAGCAAAAATGGTACCAAACTGAGTGCAGGCGAAGCATTTCACCAAATCACTGTTCCTAACCGTTGGGATGAGACGAACAAATTTTGTTATTGGAATTGTGATTGTTATTAATTTGCAGTATGATATAATATTTTAGGAAAAAAAAAATAAACCAAAACAAACGTGATGGTAACATATTTGGAATAGTGGGATTAGATGGAATTGGCATTTGAAAATGGAATTTGATTTGGTGGGATTTGGAATTAATAAAATCTTTTCTAGTCATATTACCCAAACTACACTCCACGTCTTTGGTTTTGATCTAATCTTATCTAGTGTTATTGCTTCTTGTAGTGAAGCAAAAGTAGGCACTGTGGAACAGGGAAGTGGGATACAATAAAACTGACATGCAATAATAATCACGTATCATGATGGGATAGAGTGAATAAAAAATGACATAAAAAGAAATCATAATAATAATCACTATAATTTATTTTACTTTTCTAAATTCAGTTTATTAAAAATTACTCTTTTTTTTGTATTTATTTATTTTAATGAATATTTTTAAGATTTTAAGTTTTTTTTTAAATTTTTTTTAGATGCATGTTATGTATTTAAAAAGTAAAATATCTGTGAAATTTTTTTTAAAAAATTAATAAATATATAAATATATGAAAAATATATTAATTTTTTATTTATATATTTTTTATATTTTTGATATTTGGAGAATTTTAGAGTGAATAATTTTTCCCGATAAAGAGCTCGCAAAAAAAAAAAAAAACAAAAAAACACAATAATGACGAAAGATACACCAATCAAAACCCCCATTAAATTTTCCTCGTATATTTTTGCTATTTTTAGACCCTAAAAATCTAACCTAGAAAAACGGAACTTCCAAAAATCTCCCACGAAAAACTCTCTCTGCTCTCTCTGCTCACACCCTTTTAAAAAAAAAAAAAAAAAAAACCCTAAGAGAGAGAAGACTTAGCCGAATCCATAGCCAAAAGCTCAGAACCTCAAGCACTCCTCCAAGAAGGTACGTCTGAAACCCTAGAAATTACAATTATATATATATGTATGTATGCATGTGTGTATGTGTGTGTTGATGAGGTTATATTGGTCTGAATATATGGTTTGAGGGTTTTAATGGGGAAAGGAAGACCTAGGGCTGTAGAGAAAGGGGTATTAGGGCAGAGTTCTACTGTTTCATCATCTGGGTCATTGGATATACCAGAAGGGCCTGTGTATTATCCAACTGAGGATGAATTTAAGGACCCTTTGGAGTTCATATATAAGATCAGGCCAGAAGCTGAACCATATGGGATTTGTAAAATTGTTCCACCCAAGAGTTGGAAACCCCCTTTTGCATTAGATTTAGATTCATTCACATTTCCGACGAAAACTCAAGCCATTCATCAGTTACAAGCTAGGCCCTCGTCGTGTGATCCGAAGACCTTTGAGTTGGAGTACGAAAGGTTTTTGGAGGAGCATTGTGGGCGGAAGTCAAAGAAGAAGATAGTCTTTGAAGGGGAGGATTTGGATTTGTGTAAATTATTCAATGCTGTGAAGCGGTACGGTGGTTATGATAAGGTTGTGAAGGAGAAGAAGTGGGGGGATGTTTCTCGATTTGTGCCGCCAGGGGGAAAGATTTCAGATTGTGCAAAGCATGTATTGTGTCAGTTATACCGAGAGCATTTGTATGATTATGAGAATTATTATAGTCGGTTGAACCGAGGGAAAGGAAAGAGTTGCAAGGGAGGAGTGCATGGTGAGAGAAAAAATCAACAGGGGTGTGATTTTTCAAGTTCTAAAAGAAGGCGAAAGAATCTCGAGGGTGAGAGAGTAAAAGCATGTAAGGTAGAGGAGGAAGAGCTTGATCAGATTTGTGAACAATGCAGAAGTGGGTTGCATGGGGAAGTAATGCTGTTGTGTGACAGATGTAATAGAGGCTGGCATATATATTGTTTGTCACCACCTTTGAAGCAGGTTCCGCCTGGGAATTGGTATTGCTTAGATTGTTTGAATTCTGACAAGGATAGCTTTGGTTTTGTGCCTGGTAAGCGATTCTCCTTGGAAGCTTTCAGACGTGTGGCTGATCGGGCCAAGAAGAAATGGTTTGGATCGGCACCAGCCTTGAGGGTGCAATTAGAGAAAAAGTTTTGGGAAATTGTGGAAGGATCAGCTGGGGAAGTCGAAGTTATGTATGGCAGTGACCTGGACACATCTGTGTATGGAAGTGGGTTTCCGCGCATAAATGGTAAAAGACCAGCGTCTGTAGAAGTTGAGAAATGGGATGAATATTGTGCTAGCCCCTGGAATCTCAATAACTTGCCCAAATTACAAGGGTCAATGCTTCGGGCTGTTCATCATAGTATTGCTGGTGTTATGGTGCCTTGGCTTTATGTTGGAATGCTGTTCTCATCATTCTGCTGGCATTTTGAAGACCACTGTTTTTACTCAATGAATTATCACCACTGGTATGTCTCTTGTTTAACATTGAACCTTGGGGTCTTTGCCATTTATCTGTTGGTTTGTTTTACTTGCAATAATTGTGTAAATAAAAAAGGGTGATCTAGTGCAAAAGGATTTTGCTAAAAAATAAAAAAAATTGCATGGATATTATGACATTACTTATCAAAAGGGGAAAAAAGTTCACAATGAATGTTTTGCATTTCTCCCACCAGAATCAATTTGCTCTTTTTAATATTCATCATTAAACTCAACATCACTTTGAAGCCAAATAAACGCATCAAATAAATCTCAATTGCTCTTCATTCATCCCACACAAAAAAAATGGTATCATTTGCGAAAGGAATACATGAGATTGACAATGATTTTCATCCCACTTGTCCTATCTTAAAATCCCTAATCATGCATCCATCTGTAGGAAGACTGATCATCCTACTCGGAGCTTCTATCACCAAAATTAGTAGAATAGGGGATAAAAATATTGCCTTACTTAAGTTAGTCCCTTGTAAAGGATTATCTTACAATGATGAAGTTACATTGAACAAAAACACCTTAAATTTCTCTAAAAAGAAAAGAAAAGAAAGAAAATTAACTACGTTGAGATGAAAATGCTACACATACTTCTTTTTCTACTACTAAACCTTTAATAGTTAACTATTGTAGACCTATTTAAAAATTGCTAACAAAAAAAGTGGACCTAAAATAAAACCCCTAGACAACTACCACAAAATGATGAGGAACATGGCTAACCAAGTAATTTCATTGTTGAGGATTTGTGCATTAGTCCAACAATCGGCGACAACATTTAACCCCTTCTCATTTAAGAGGCGGTCAGATTTAAGCTAATAGAAAACATTGAGTGTTGAGGTCGATCATTGCCAAAGAGAGCAAATATCATTTGGTCGATCGTTACCAGAGTGTGCAAAAGACAAGCTTCGTGAGATAAATATAAATGATGCCTGATATTTGCAAAAAAGAACCCCAAGTATTCTCAAATTTGTAATAATTGTAAAAATACCCTTTATTTTTTAAGTTATTAAAATGGGCACAACTTATTTGTTCTGGTAGCCTACATTTTAAAAAAAATACATTTTTGTTTGTCCTACCCACAAAAGCACCCAAGCTGTACCCAGCTTTCAAAATTATTATTATTTTTAAACAAAAGTATTGGAGACGTATTTCTCCTACTTGATGTGTGCGCAGCCCTCGTACGACATACTTTTTGGAGTACCCATGCTTCACACCTTATGGTATTGAGCCAACATGAGCTCATGTGAGTTTAATGGCATACTAGTATGGGGTCATTTTTAGCAGGGCTAATCAGGGGTTGGTTGTGGTATTTGTGTCTAGTGGGCCATTGACGAGGACACCAAGAGATACAAGGGAGGGACTTTCTTGCGACTCTGGCTAGTAAGGGCTATGTTGAACTTTAAAAGCAAGCAAGGTAATAAATGAGCCAAACGAATTATAGTAATATGGTTGTTAAAAAAATTAGCAAGTTTATCTTTTGACCTAATGTCAATAGAGCTTTAATCTATTCAACCATGAGGCAAACTCGAGTATCTTGGTTTTTAACATAGTCTCAAAGTGTTCACTAATTTATCAAAGTTGAATTTGAACCGCTTGCAAAAGATTAATAAGCTTCAAATTCTGTTCAAGCTTGACTTGTTTATGTCGAAAGCTAATCTCAAATGAGCTTGTAGTGAGCTAAACGCAATTCAATCTCGAGTCGCTTTGTTAGTTTTATATGTGCAAGGGCAGCTCTTGGATATGTAAGTAGGAAAATTATATTCAAAGTGATATTTTAGACCTAGCCTTTTTGGTAGGAGCTGTGTATTTTTTTGTTGTATGTACTCGAGTACAGGTATGTGTCTAAGTGTCTGATGATCCCCAAAGTCTCCAAAATTAAGCCTTTGGGGACCCAACTAGAAGTGTCCTAAATGAGCGTTGGTATTAATGAGAGAAGTAATTTGAGAGGAATGGTGAATGCTAACATGAGTAAGGATAAATCTTGTGAAAAACATGCTCACTTGCCTGTGGAAGTTTTCTGTGTTTAGTCAATCTATTCAAAGTGAATTGGTCCCTAAGGAACCCTTGAAAGGACTATTGATGTTGTCTGATGGGTGTACAAATATGTGAAATGGTATGCGGTCTGATGGGTTGTCGTCCAATGGGTTTATGAAAGCAACATGAATCCCAAGTGAAAAGGCCTTACTAAATGAACCAGATAATAGAAAAAATAGAGCATATCAAGTTCCACAATTCAAACACCATGGAACAGTGAAGAAAGAGGTGATTTACGCTTTTGCCTACCTGTATACTCATACAACACCAATCTACCGGCACCTTATGCCTCTTTGTCAGGTTATAATGGTCAAAATAGCCTCTTGAGCTGCAGTGCATACAAAAAAGACAAAACTTAACAGGGGAACAATTTCTCCAAATGCCTCTCCAAGTGTGAAAGGAACGGACTGAAAAAATGCCACGCTTAGTGACTTTCAAAACCATGCCATGTGTGACCTTGTTGAACCAGTGTTGTTAGTAAACATTTATATCCTAGCAATTTACGTTTTGGAGCACACATTTTGAAATATGGTTACATTTTCGTTTTAAAACAACAAATTCAGCGATTCAGGAAATTTTCCTATTTATTTACTTAGAAGGATAAGCAAATCAAATATAATGAACTAAAATTTAAAGAGAGTGAGGTTTGGGTAACAAAACTGAAAATAAAATAAACTTGGGTTTAATGTTTAATGAAAATTTCTTTCATTTTTATAAGAACCTTAAATTCTGTTATTGTGATAAATACAATCCTTCCCCTATCATACCACATTTTAGAATACATGGTGTACCACTTTCTGTTCATTTTTCTTGTATAGGAACGATCGGAGTTTCAGGTAACATAGTGTTGAACTCTTGAACCATAGATCAAAGCAAAATAGGATGAATCACCCAATCCTCTACTGGCTTGTGAACATTGGAGTCTACAAAATGCCACCATTACCAAAGGAGATAGATTCCTTCATAGACATTTGGTAGATTCCTGCACAGATGCATTAGGGTCCACAATAAGATGAAATAGATCTGAGAAAACCTCCCTTAGAGGTCTATGCCCACACCAACGGTCCAACCAGAATCTTATTTTTTTCATTCCTCACTGAAGAAAACCTTTTTAGCTAACTCATTCCATACCCTCATGATGTTCCCATCCTGAAAGGCCCAACAATTGAACATATGGACCAGTTACCATAGGCTCTTTCACCACTTTCCTTCACTAACACTCATTTTCCATGGAAAATCTCCATAATCATTTTGATCAACAGAGCTTTGTTGAATACTTCAAGAGTTGATCTTCCCCCTCTAGATAATATTGCCTTTTTCATGAAGCAAGCCTCATCTCAAACCTCTCCACTACTGCATCCCACACAACAGTGGCTTCAAACGAAGACCCCAGGGTTTGCCCCGCTAAGGTGGATGTATTGCTTTTAGGCCTTGGCTTTTTGTACAGTGGTTGCCCCCTTAAGATGTTTTTGTTAATGAAATTCTGCTTATAAAAGAAAAAGCCTTTTTGTTTTGTTTTTTTTCATTTTCTTTTTTGAGAAAGAGATGAAGCATAATTTTCTAGCTTATTGCATGTGGTGTGATGCCATGCACATCTAGTGAGATTCCACAAGAAAACTAGTCTGAATCACCAAAAAAAAGTTTTTCTTTTTCCTCTAGGTAGGTGAGACGCCTTCTCTCTCTCTGTGTCTCCTCTTTCATTTCAGCACATCTATTTCTCATTTCTTCATCCTATCAATGACTATTTGGTTCCAAGCCAAGAAAACTATTTTCCCAACTCTTGTTTCGAAGAAAGCAACTAAATTCCCTGAGTTTTAAGGTTCATGCCGTATCATTTTGTTGTGTTGCGTTGCGTCGTGTTGTGCATTTGAAATTAGTGTACATAGTTGAAACCCACTTTATAATGAAATGGCCTTTGATAGGACTGCGTAGAGAAGAAGGATTCATGTAGCTGACCCCATTTGATGGGACTTAAGGCTTGGTTTGGGTTGGGTTGGTTTAGTTGAAACCCACTTCAGTCCTCTTTTGTGATATCTCTGACTGACTTCTCAAAAAGAATGGAAAAAAGGGAGTTGAATATCCAACCTTGAACATTGCAAATATCAGAATTTTTTTTTTTTTATTTAACACATTGGGAAGAAGAAATAAATTCTTGCTTGCTGCTTACCTTGGACTTACTTCTTTTTGAGTATATCTGTTCTATGTTTTGCAAATAATTCTTTTTTTAAAAAATAAAATACATTATGTATACACATTTCTGTGATCCACCAAAAAATTTTGTTCAAGTAAATATTAATCAATCTCTGTGTGTGTGGCTATCTATCTCGTTACTTTATTGGGGTAGAGAGTGATAGTTCATTCGATCAATTCTGTTTGTTTTTATAGAAAGAATTGTGCCCACTGCTTCTCTTATGCTTTCAGGGGAGAGCCAAAGTGTTGGTACAGTGTTCCTGGTAATGAAGCCATTGCATTTGAGAAGGTAGTTCATAAGTTATTTAAATGTTGTGTTTGTTCTTATTTTCGACTGCTATTTTCTAGTATTTAAATATGATATTGTTTACTATGTAGTATTTTGCGTTATTTCTAGTAATTGCTTATGAGTTATGTCTTCCTTCCTTGCTTGTTTTCCAAGAGTGCCTGAGTAACGACTTACCATTTTTGTAAAACATTTCCTAGATTACTTCACTGACCAATGGTGTTATTGGTTCTTTTAGACAATATGAATTAATAGTGCTACATGATGATATTCTGATTTCAATGTGATTTATTTCATTGTTTGTATAAATTTTGATATCAAAATCATTGAAAATAATTTCACCACATGAGGGGATATATAGGAATCTAAATTTGCCGAATCACTCATGCTATCATCTTCTACAACTAACATTACAAAATTCTTTGAATTGTTTGCCCAAGTTATGGTTGCTATTAGACTACCTGTGGTTGTCATGATGCGGGTAGTGCCTTTTTGAGGGGTGTATTTGAGGCATTGTAAGGGTGCTTCTAATGAACAAGCCTTGTTTTGTCACATGCTACATGATGTGGGACCCATTTGGCATCTCACATGATTATGTTAGTAATCTAACTAATTTTGAGTCATATTTGTGTTTTATTTAAATTTATCCTTTGGTGGTTTATTTTTGTATCGTATGCCATTTGTTAGGGCTGAGGTGGTTTTGTCATTTTGATATTTTTTGGACATGGTTGGATGTATAGGCCCTTTTTTTTGGTATAGGTTTTCGTGGGTTAACATGTTGTACATGGCAGAAATCCCCCTTGATGACGATATAATGCAATTTGCTTTACTTCTAAACTATTATATATATATATATATCAGACATCATTTGTTGGGGTTACCCATGTGTTGCACTAGGTTCCAGTTTGTATAATTGGACTTCTATTTATGGGTCTAGTTGATTTAGATAGGTTTTAGAAGTTGAAAGTATAATTTTTGAAAGTTTTGCCTATTACAAGCTCAAGTCTTAGTTGGGGTACAAGATTTCTGAAGCTACATATACTGTAAGTTCTTTAATTCAATGGAGATTAGTTTTTGAGAAATTTTGAGAGTTACTAGAGGATTTTTGGGAGTAGAGACTAAGACATTCTATTCCTACTTATTTTCCCTTTAAGACTCTCTGTTCCACATATTTCCAGCAAAAAACGTAGAAAATTAAATTAGAGACTATGACTTTCTATTCTCACATATTTTCCAGCAAATGTAGAATATTAATTGTATAGACATTTGGCAGTGATTCTTCCTTTCCCCTTATGAAAATTTGTTTGAGAGTCATGGTGAAATTGTCTAACTTTCTGCAGGTAATGCGGAATAGTCTTCCTGATTTGTTTGATGCGCAACCGGATCTGCTTTTTCAGCTTGTAACGATGCTCAATCCATCTGTCTTACTAGAAAATGATGTTCCAGTTTACAGTGTACTGCAGGTTTGACATGCTAGTTCATGAATTCGCCATTTTCCATTTTCACATTTGTTTTGTAATGAATAAGCTAATACGTGAGTTTGCTATTTGAGAGTATTTTTTAGTAATCTCCTGTTGCTTGCTAGAAAGTAAGATCTGATTTTGATTGCACTTGGTACATGTGAGAAAATGGAACTTGTAAATCTGTAGTCTCATCACCTCCTTGTTTAGATTAAATGAGAAACAAGGATATGCTGGAGTAGTTGCAAAGTAGCTACCATTGTCATTGTAGGGCTTGTGTTTGAAAGTGGTCCCCAAAAAGTCAAAGTGGGTTCCCTCATGTTTTTTTTGGAAGATTCTATGTCTTACTTCCGTCTTTACTAACTAAAACTCATTTAGGCTGTGTTTAGATCATGTATTTGGGTAGGGATTTTGAAATGGAAAAGGTGGGTGAAATGTAGCTATATTTCATTCACATTTTTCCTTTCCCTTTCCAAATCTCTACCCAAATCCATGATCCAAACACAACTTTAAATTTCTCCTTTCTTTATCTTTGCATATATTAGAAAAAAGTACAAAGTGTTTTACTGGAAGAAAAGGATTTTGCTTTACATTAATGAATGGATGAGTTCATCCTATTGCCTGCTCTCTCCCTCTAACTCTCTTTCTCTGTGTCTGTCTATCTAGTTGAGCATGTTTATTTTCGTGATAAGTAAAGGTTAGTTGAATATGATCGCATTTGAAAAATCTACAATTACTTTATAAACTAAGGAGATTGCCACTATGCAAACATCCTAAATCTACAGCCACCTAATAAAATAAGGAAATTGCCAAATCTACAACCATCCATTTGATAACATGCTATCATAAACATCCTAATATGTTTCCAAGAAATGACAAAATGCCACCTGCAGCTTTATCTCCATGTTTGTACTTGTGTAAGATATGGAAAAAAAGATAATACATTTATATCTGAACTAAATTCATAAATGTGCTTTTTGACAAACAACTGACTGGCTCTAAGAGCCTAGTTAGTGTTGTAATGCAATAGTTTTTAAACTCAATTGAACCAATCTTTGTTCCAATTACTTAGGTTGGCTACATGGATTTGTTTTTCCCTGTTTGCTTTTTTATAGGGCAAGTCTACGACAATCATGGCCCCATTTACAGCCTCGACCTATGTCCTTTCCGGTTTTCTTGGTTTTTTTTAGCTACCCCAACTTGGATCAAATCATCCTGATGGGCAGACACTTTAGTTGGCCCAATTTGCAAGATTTGCTGAAAATTGTCCTTAAAAGTCAAGTACCTATTTTCCCAGTCATATTTGTGTCCTAATTTTTTTCCCATTGTGATGATCACTATGTAGATGCCAGTAGTGTTAAGCTTGGCCTTTCAGATAGTACTACTGTCTAGGAGTGGTAAGGCATTGCTTAATGTGTCTGAAATGGTTGGTGCATGTTGACACTCACAACTCAGCTAGCCTTGGCCAAATTACTTGAAGTCAACCATAGAGATCCATTTTCTGTAGTTGGCTTAAAAGTAATGTTCTCAGTTAAGTTTGAGGTAATCATGTCTTTTTTTTTATTGGCACAACTCATACCCTCGTTAGCCTGACTTATTTTTTTAGCACCTTCAACATAGATCAAATCACTTCTTGGAAGTTCTTGTGTTGATTATGTTGCACGTGGTCATACCATCTCAAACATTTTTCTCATTTATTTTAAATCCTTGTTACTTCTCATTTCTCCTTAATGCATTCAGTTTTTGTTATATCTTTTCTTGCAATGCCACTCATCTATCTTAACACTCTCATTTAAAATACACTCATATGTTGAACATGTTTCTTAAATGCCCAATGTTATGTAATTGCGGCCCTTATGGTAGTCCTATGATACTCTCTCTTCAACTTAACAGGAACCCACAGCCACATTGTTGATGCATTGTTCCATTTTGTACCTTGCATTCTTATGCATGAACCACATCATTTTCAAACTTTCATTATGAATAATGGTCACTTTTTGCTATCTTTTGTCCACCATGTTTACACTTCATTTACATAATTGTTGCTAACATTGTACTCCATACATACTATTCTAGTCCAACATAATTCAAAATTTTTAGATTCTAAAGCATCTCTCCTCAATTCTAGCTTCTTTTTTATTTCGTATATCTTTGATTCTTCATAGATATTTTATTTTTGGGTGCAATAGTGATAGGCTACACAATGGGGAGTAACCGTTCCCCTATCCATAACCCCCCAATCCCGGTTGAAGGCTGCATTTGATTGCAGGTCTTTGGTAACACATCAAGGAACTTTACCAGCTAAGTTAGCTGACACATTTTCCTCAATTCTAGTCTAGAGTTTACTTCTCCTGTTTCATCAACTAAACCTAAAAGTTATGCAAACATACATGAGGGATATCGTTTTGAATAGTCCTGGTAAGTTCATCTATAATACTATATTAACTTTTTGGCTAATTGGCTAAAATAGTCTCTTGCCAAACGAGGCCTAACTAATGCAAAAAGGTAAGAACTTAATGCCAATGGGCCTAAGTGGTTGATACATGCCAGGGTCTTAGCAGTGGCATCTGGTCTTCTTGATTGCTGGACAGTGGACACATAAATGATGACTTGGTAATAAGTAGCAAAAAAACATTGATCTTCCGATAAATTATTTTTGTTTGTTTAAAAAAGTAGGTAGCCATATTTGTCTGTTGAAACAAATTACGTAGTTAATGCTTGTAATTGTAATTAGCTGATGTAGAGCATGAAGCTACAGGGAGCTTTGTGTGGGCTCAAGTAGAAGCAAAGCAACTATGGAAAGGGGGACAATATTAAGATTTATCCTTAAATGTGCATAAAGTTTTTATTTTTTAATGATTTCTATTCTAATCATATGGAAAACATGGGTATTTTTGGGATAAATCTTTGCTTCGTCTTCATTTGCTTCTTTTTCTATAGGGTATAGATAAGCATTTTTGTTTTTCTCTTTTTCTCTTTTTCTGTATTATTTGGTTTATGTTTAGAATTGTGATTAATGTCTTAGGGATTTGTTAAAATCCACCCACTACACCACTACCACCTCACCTACTCCACTAAACCTAACCCACTACACCACTACCACCTCACCTACTCCACTAAACCTAACCCACTACACCACTACCACCTCCACTTCACCTACTCTTTACCTACTACACACTCACCCTCTTCTATATATAGGAATCATGAATCATTGTAATTTAAGATCAATACAACAATCAATAATACAATCATTTCTCTTTATACATTAAATTTCTACAGGATTTTCTTACTAGCTCTATGAACTAAAATTGTAATTATTGCCAATTCATTAAGCTAAAAATTATGTTTTCAATGTGTTCCTGTAGTGGATGTTGGAGATGACTTCCTGAAGCTGTTCTTTTTATCTAATTGGTTTCTTTAAAGATGATTTAATTTACTACTTGCTTACTATTTGCCAGGAGCCTGGAAACTTTGTCATTACCTTTCCCAGATCTTACCATGGAGGTTTCAATTTTGGTAGGTTGTGACATTTGCGAGTTACCAATGTGCATTTTTTGGACTTAGTCTACCATAATGGATCTTATGTTGTGCATATTGCTTCAGAGCTTATTTTTTTATTTGATCTTTGCAGGCTTAAATTGTGCTGAGGCTGTCAATTTCGCTCCTGCTGATTGGCTTCCTCATGGTGGTTTTGGAGCAAAGCTATATCAGCAGTATCACAAGGCTGCTGTTTTATCTCACGAGGAGCTTCTTTGTGTGGTTGCCAAGGTCATAAGTTTTTTTACTTGTAGCTTTTTGATAATTAAATCACTAAAGATGCTTGGCTATCATGCATTTAACCCTAACTACTACGGCCCTATGTGTATAGTTTTTCCATTTATCTACATATATATACTCTTTGGTAGTTGCTGTTGCTGTTACCTCCTGGTAGGTCAAATGGTATCCATTTGGTCTCACAATCTTAATCCAAGGGCTGAAGACCCCTTGTTGTCTTGCCTATCACACAAGAAAAAAATTTGTACTATTGTGATTCAATGATTGGATCCATGGAGCTTGTTCTGCTGCATTAGTTGTTGCATTTGATTTCTTATTTTTGTTGTCCTTTCCCTTTTTTGGCTGGGTTACTCATTATTGGATCTAAACTGCCATTCAATTTTAATGTCCCGCTGCCGCAGTTGACATAACTTAATTTTTTTTTTAGTGTTCTTTTTCTGGCTTTTTAACCATTGAAAACACTTTGATTTTTTGTTAGGTTGAAATGTTGAGTCGTCGTAACTTTTGTGGACAGTTGGCTTACCTTCTTAAATGTTGTTATGTTACTGGCAGAGTGACTTTGATAGCCAAGCATCACCTTACTTGAAAAAAGAATTGCGTAGGATATATGATAAAGAGAAAACTTGGAGGGAGCAACTTTGGAGAAATGGCATTCTTAATTCATCTCCCATGTCACCACGAAAACACCCCGAATATGTGGGTACTGAAGAGGTATTTCCAGAATGCTGCAACTACTTCTCAATTTTGATTTTCTGCATTATCTATATTATGATTTACGGACTATACCATTGCTGATGAGTGTGTCCTGATTTGAAGGATCCTACATGCATTATATGCCAACAATATACGTATCTTTCTGCTGTTGTTTGCCGCTGTAGGCCGTCTACTTTTGTTTGTCTAGAGGTAAATGGCCTTCTCAAATCTTCAATGAAATATTCATGCATTTGGTCCTCTTAATTGTAGATTGTTTGTCAAATGTATGCTGGCTATGTCAGTTTATTAAATGATGGCTGCAATGTCAAGCCTTTTTTTAAATTTTAAATTTTAATCTTTAATTTTTTTTTTTTTTTTTTGTCTTGGTCCCCAAGTGAAACACATGTTTGGTGACCTCACTTATTTGCCAAAAAAAAGAAAGAAAAATTACTTTATTTTATTGCTTTTGTTAATAGGGTTGATTTACCTTGAACTTGTAATACATTTTATTTCTCGTTTATTATTGGCTGCTAGAATGCTTTGGCCTTGTAATACAATTTTATGTGCAAGCGGTGATGGTACAATTATTTATTTGATGAATCATGTAATGTAGTCAGCTGGAAATCCTCCAGATTAGGTCAAACTTATTTCACATCGAAATGTCGAGATTTAGTCCTGGAGTTTTTTCCCCCAAAACTTACTGTTTTTACTTTTTATGCAGCATTGGGAACACCTCTGTGAATGCAAGCCTAACAAACGTCGGCTTCTTTATCGTCATACTCTGGCAGAATTGAAGGATTTGGTGCTTTTAACAGATAAACATGATTCTTGGGAGACAGCCCATGATAGAAATTTGAGAAGGCAACTTTTGGCTTCTGATGAATCGGGTGCTTTGACTAAAAAGGTCTTTATCATAATTTTTCGTAACTATTAGATTAATGGGAATTTTCAGTTGAAGTCATTGCTGAGTGAAGTTTGCGTCTTCCGTTGTTTGTTTGCAAGAAATTGGTTTTCCTGCTAAACTTACATGTACTCGTGTAAATGTTTTTTCTTCCGAGCAATTTTCTTGTTTGAACTTCTAGATCATGTTTTTGAACCTGGTTCCCTTTGTTCTCATTTTCAATTTTGTCCCTGCTTCTTGTGATCTTTCTCCACTGAGAAAAGCCAGCATGGAGCAGTCTTGTATGGAAGGTCTCTTTTTTTAGCTTAATATTGAGGGTTATTTTTATTTTTATTTTGTGGATGTAATCAGATTAAGATGGATTTAATTGATTGGGAAGGAGCTGTGTTGGGTTTCCTAAAAATTTACTTGACGAAAGAACCTGATTAGTTATTTAGGTCCAAATTTGTTATCTTCGTTTGCACGTGCCAGATGTTCAACTGAAAGCGATATGCCTATTTGATGTCAGAATCAAATCTGTTTCATTATCTTTTTGAAAATTGTTTAAAATGTTAAATACATTATAAATCTAATGTTTAAGATGTTAAATACTTTTCAATGTCCATTGAAATTCTTTTGGATCTACTCTAATAAGGCTTTGTGTGACCATGACCTTCTTGTCCAAAGTCATCCTAAGACCGTTCATGCTTCAAATATTTTGATTTATAGGCCATATTATTTAGTTTGTCAATTATAAATATAAATCTCAGAAAAAGTATGAATAATATAATTTGTTTACCTACATTGCATGACTATAATTAGTAAACCTTGTTGGACTGGACATTGTATTTATTGGTACATTTACTGCTAGATTTTCGTATTGCACTATTGTTCTATCAGGACAAATTAAACATTCTTAATTGTTCCTTGTCTGATTTTCTTCTAAAATATTCATTTGGTATTATTTGATATTTCAATGTGACGTAGAGACAAGCATTAAACATCATTATTTATTCTTTACCCAGGAGATTTTGCTCTAAACTATTGATTCTACCTATCTACTTGATATTTGAATGCGACATAGAGAGACTCCTAGAGAGATTTTCTTTTAAGAATCTTATTGTTTCTTTTCTAATTTTTTCTTTTTTGGGGAGAAAGACCGTCCGAATTTTCTAGAAAAAGCAATACGTACTTTTGAAATCAACTATTTTATTAGTGAGAGTTGTTGCATAAATATCGTGCACCATGGCTGTGATTTGTAGGTAAAAGGTGGTCATGTCACTCTTGCCCAACTTGCGGAAGAATGGCTTCTAAGTTCTTGTAAGATTCTTCAGATTCCATATTCTAGGGAAGCTTATATTAAGGCATTAAAGGAAGCCGAGCAGTTTCTTTGGGCTGGTTCAGAAATGGATCCGGTGGGGTTGAAGTCTTTGATGTAACTCCTGGGCATGTTATTAGTAGTTATTGTGCTTGAATAATTTATATTCGTTCACTTGTTGATGTAGGTGCGAGACGTGACAAAGAACTTGGTTGACGCTCAAAATTGGGCTAAAGGTGTTAGAGAATGTCTTTCTAAAGTGGAAAAGTGGTCATGTCATTGCAGCTGTGATACAGAAAAAGTGCAGTGGGAGCATGTTGACAATTTACTTGGCTTTGATCCAGTGCCTTGTAATGAGCCTGCACTTCTTAAATTAAAGGTGCAATATGAGAAGTGGTTTTTGTTTCTGATGTGCATGTGTTTAGTTTACAAATCTAACTCTTACAGCTGTTTGATCTTTTGTGTATAGGATTATGAAAATGAAGCTAGAGCTTTGAGCCAGGAAATTAATTCCACCCTTTCAATGTGCTCAAAAGTTTCTGTAAATAATTTCTCACACTTGATGCTCTTTTTTTGAACTTGTTTTTTCTAATTATGAGGAACTAGTGTTTTTTGGCTAATTAGAAAGATTATTTGGTCACCATTTTATTTATTATATTATTTTTCCTTTTTGTTCTGTTTGGTCAATTTTGTTCTAATCTTTGATTATGTTTTCTACAGATTGCTGATTGGGAAATGTTATACACCAGAGTCTGTGACTTGCCAATATATATCAATGAAAGTGAGAAGTTAGGACAGAGGTTATCTTCTACAAAGGTACATCTTTATAATAGTGTGGCTATACTATCTTTAAAAAGATTTTGTTTTCCCTCAGATCAATTTACATAATCTTCTGCTCATCTTTGCATTTTAGACTTGACATTTTGAATGCAACTATAAATCATTTTTCTAGTCAATCTAAACAAAATTTTCTTGAAAAGAGTGCAAGTAAATAACACATTAAAATAAATGCTTTATTGTTTAAATTCCTGCAATGCTTTGGTTATTTGAGATTTGCTTACTCGGCAATTACCCGATTCTTTTCTTCCTTCCTCTGTATCCCCAAAGAATTGCAAAGGTAAAGTGATTCTTTAGGGGCAACTTTCCATAACTGCAAAAATGATTCCATATGCTAACACAAGCTTGTAGCATCACTAACTGCAATTCTAAGGGGTTCTTATTTGGTTGCCACTATTGCTTACTGATGTTAGTGCATTGTTGAGGTCATTTAGGCCTGGATAGACAACGTAAGGAAATGTGTCTCGGAGAAATCTCCTGCTGCAATAGAGGTGGATTTCGTCTATGAGTTGCAATCAAAGGTGATTCAAATTGCTTTTCTATGTAACTGCTGTATCTTTCCCTTGATTTTTTTTAAACTTAGGTTTTTATTTCTTACTCTTTCTTTGGGATAGATTCCGGAGCTTGATGTTGAACTACCTGAAGCTGAAATGCTTTTGGGTTTATTAAGGCAAGTTGAATTATGCCAAGTTCAGTGCACTGAGATGTTGAAGGGTTCTTTAAATCTGAAGGTTTTGCCCTGTTGATGCTTTAAATTTGTACCTTAAGAGAATTCATAGAAGTCAAAACTTTACTACATTATTTCCCCCCCGGGAGGGAATTCCCCCCCCCCCCCTCTTTTTTTTGTAGAAACTTGAGGCACTTTTTCAAGAATTGGATGATTTCACGGTCAACGTGCCACAGTTGAGACTTTTGAGACAGTACCACAGTGATGCTATCTCATGGATTTCCCATTGTAATGATGTTCTATTAAACATTCATGAACGGGAGGATCAAGAAAATGTTGTTAATGAGTTAACTTGCATTCAAAGAGATGGAACATTGTTGAAAGTTCAAGGTCTGCCCTCTGCCGCATGCATATTCTCTGTTAGAATTTTTTTATTTTTATTTTAATTGGTATATTTTGTTTGTTTTGCATGTCTCTTATGTTTAGTTGTTGATGAGTTGTCTCGTGTTGAGATTGAGTTAAAGAAGGCTTGTTGCAGGGTAAAGGCTCTGAAGGTAACACAATGTTATTCTTTTACAATTTTTTATATGATGATACTTTTTTCTTCCCTATATTATGTTCCATCTTGTAAGGGGTAACCATTGGTTTAATGGTAAAACCTTGGCCTAATAACCTTGACGTTATGGGTTCAAGTCTCAAGGCAACCACTTTGTGCATTATGCCAAAGGTTAGGTGTGTATCCAATCTTTCTCCTCCCAAACAGACATTAATGTGTACTAATTAGGCGTTGTTTTTATTTATTTATTATGTTCCATCTTGTATTGTGATCTTTTTTCTTAGCTTATTTTGTTTTAGTTGTATGTATTTACTTTATGGTTTCAAATACCTGTTAATGAGTGACGTTTTTTTTACTCGTCTCTGTTACCATAATCTTACGGTTCATGATTTGATTTGCGTTTTGATTCTTGTTTTGATTTCCATTTCATGCATGGATCGATATGAATTTATGGATGAATCCATTTTGGGATAGAATCTATGATGAATTGAATGATTCACAATCGATTCACGATTTGATTAAATTTTTTATGATTTATGCTATTCTTAAAACAATAATAGTGTTCGATAGATTCTGACCCTTTTACCCCTTTATTATTATTATTATTAGTGAAATTGACACAGTACAACGTCTAAAAGTGTTTCGTATGAAAATAATCAATACCTATGCATGATTTGTTGTTATTTTGGTGATCATAGGGTTTTTAATATGATCCAATTAGATCGAGCGAAACCCAACATGTTCTTAATCTTTATTTTTTTCATTTTTTTTTTCCTTAAAACAAAAAATAATAATACATGTTTAAAGTTAAAATAACCGGCACCCATGAATTACCTATTGCTATTCTAGTGACATTTTTAATAAATATATAAACATGCACACCTTTTAAAGTGTTTTAAGTTTTACATAAATGATTCACTTATTATTAAACTTCCTAGGTCTTTTTTGTTTTTGTTTTTTTGATTGTCTACAGAAATTATATTATGTTTTTTGAATAATTTTATAGTAGGTGGGATTTCAGCCCACATCTCTTGCTACGAAGGCAATGTCTTCTCAATTAGACGTGTAATCATGTCCTAATATAAAAATTGTTTTTAATATATGCCAGAAGCAATTTATTTAGTTTTTTTATATATATTTGATTGTTTAATATCATCTTATAGTTTGTACTGAATCTTAGTGATTCTAGATTATAGTCGATTCTCTATTCACAAAATTTGAAATTCTATTTATGATAAGATTTTTGGTTTGGCAACTAAGCTCCTTTTCTTCAATTGTTTGATTTGTTTATTAATAAATCCTCTCTTTGCTCCATGGGTTCAATGCATCTTTTTCTACTCGATTAGTATTTCTCTCCTAAGCTATCTGTTCAAAAGTTAAAAATAATTTGCGTAACATTGGTGCAGGCTCTTGATAGGAAGATGTCTTTGGTTTTCATCCGACAAATAATGGTGGAGGCAACCATGTATGTATCATTGCCTTGATGCCTCTTACAAATTAAAAATAACTAAGAATTTTTCTTAATTTTGTCAGTGATTTTTTAATCACAAGAAAACTTTTTTCAGATTGCAGATTGAAAAGGAGAAGTTGTTTGGTAGTATTTCTGGAGTACTTGCAGCTGCTATGCATTGGGAAGAAAGAGCAACACATATTCTTGCTTGTGAAGCTCAGATGTCGGATTTTGAGGATGCTATAAGGTATTTACAGTGCTTGTTTGTTCTTAACTTCTTGTGTTTTATTGCTTATGTTTTTGCTTGTAATAATATTTTAGTTTGAATGTTTTAGGACTTCTGAGGACATATGTGCTATTCTACCTTCTTTTGATGTTGTCAAGGATGCGTTATCTTTGGCAAAGTTGTGGTTGAAGAAGTCTGAGCCATTTTTAGTGTCTTATTTATCTGTAGCACCAGTCTCAAGTTCTCTGCTTAAAGTTGACGATCTGAAGGTTCTTTACATCTCTTGCATGTGATATGTTAGCTTACATTTGGAGTCTCAGTATAACATTATTAGCAAAATGTTTGCAGGAGTTGGTTTCACAGTCAAAGCTTTTGAAGATATGTTTAAGAGAACAATCAATGCTTCAAACAGTTTTAGATAACTGCATTGAATGGCAGCATGAGGCCAGCTCTTCACTGCATGCCATGGCATGCTTCTTAAATACTGATACTATTGATGATGCAATTGCCAGTGCTCTTATTTCGAAAATTGAACAGCAAGTTACTTCTATGGAGTCAGTCATAAAAGCTGGCTTGTCTCTTGGTTTAGACTTTGGCGAGATTCCAAAACTTCAAGATGCTTGTTCTACTCTCAGCTGGTGCTTTAAGGCTCTTTCTTTCTGTTCTGATGATCCCCAGCTTGAGGTGACTGATTATATTTCAAACAAGTCATGGCAATATGTGATATGATGCTTATCTTTTGCTCTCTATTGCAACTTGTGGTATTGAGCTTTCTTTCTTTTTATGCTGCAACTGTTAAAGTGTGTTTTTCTTATCTTTTTTGCCCCCTCTCTTTTTGAGGTACTTTTGTGTGCACTTAGGATGTGGTTAATGTGGAAGTGCATGAAAAGCAGTCTGTTCTTTGACAAAGGGTGATGAGTATATGCAACTGCTTGAGGAGTAGGCACATCCTGATCTGGGACCTTCTTTTAGTATAGTATTTTTTTTTCCCTTCCTTTAATGTGTATACTTCTATTTTCTTTTTATGATATTTGGTTCTGAGAGAGGTGGCTAATTTTATAATAGCTTAAAAGATAGATATAGCTCACACTAAGACAAAATAATTCAGAAAGCCAGCCCTGGTAGAGGGCATTTGTCAACAACATCGATTGTTTCATCTCCTTCATTTGATGGATGAAGTTTCCCCCGTTATCAGTAAAAAATTAGGTATGGATAGATCTTACCTTTCTTAGAAATTATTTCTGAATACTGCAGCTAGCTGATTTCTAATGGTAAATTTTCACAAGTTTCATGGGGGGAAACATCCATGATAATTGAACAATTGGAGAAACAGGTTATTTTTGTATTTATCTAGGAACTATCTTTTGTGAAAATGATCTGATTGTTGAAGTTGATTGCAGCAATTCTTCTTGGAACGTAGCTTTGTATGTAATTGTAGATGTTTGTTAAACCAAAGTGAATTCTAGACGTCATTTGCATTTCCATATGGTACCCTCTTGCAATATCTAATTTGGTAAAGACCCATAATATCCTTGGCAGTGAGATACTACCTCCTACGTAACTACATATACTACATTAACTCTCACCGTCCACAAACTTCTGTCAGTTACCAAAATCATGACAGCTACTAAAGCTGTCCACCCTTTGAGTGACTATTGTGCACATCATGCTTTCATCAACTATGGTGTATATGCGCGCGCGCACACACACACTAGTAGTTTGCTTATATATTTTTTATTACTTTCTATAGATGTCTTGAATTATCTATTCGAGTAATACAGCCCTACAATTTGGCCTACTTGTCTATAGTTTGGCTCACCTCATTGTTGTGGGGTTTAAACACTGAAATACTCTTGGTGCTGTAGGACAGCATATGAAGCTCTTAGGGACTGATTGTTGCTTGATTTTCTTACGGTTTAAAGCTACTAAGGATTAGGGTTTATGGCTTCTATTGTTGTATTAAAGGGAATGATGAACTTTGTGACCCTTTTGAATGCTGTGAACATTTTCAGAGAACAGTACTAGGGGCTGTGTTGTCCTGTTTGTATGTTCTAGGTTTGGGGGCTTGAAGGACAAGGGCTTTGGACCTGTAGAATAGGTTTAATGATTCTGAAAGTGAACATTGTGAATCTGAGTCTGCACTTTAATGGTTTATAAAGTTAAAAGTTCATGAAATTTGGAGGAGAAAAAAAGAAGAAATTCTTGGAATCATTCTAGAGGCTTGGGAATCATACCTAGGGTTTGATTGCTTTACACAATTCAAAGAAGCATATTTTTCTAGAAAATTTCTCTCAATTTGTATCAAATTGGAGAGTTGCGTGGCTATATATCAACTATTAAGCAACCCTAACGCACTAAGATTTAGATTTTCAAGTAACAAATTAGTACTTCAAGTTCTTAAAACTGACTACAACACACATATAAACCATTAAGATAATTTGATCCCTACAACCCATGTCTTGAAAATTCAAAAATTACCTAAGAGATGTTGGAGAACTTTATCTAGAGAGGCCAGAGAACTAATTTTTTGGAAAGGTGTCCATTTTGGGAGGAGGAGGAGGACTTGGTATTCAGTTCCTTTCGTGATTATGTGGCGTCTTTGTGGAGAAAGGAAAGGACGTTTGAGGGTAGGGAATTTTCAAGGGTGGTTAACCCCTCTTTGAACTTTGCAAAGACGTTGAATGGGTTTTTGATGTATAGCTTGTTGCTTTTCTTTTGTGTATGGGTTCCACTGCACCCGCTTGATGCCTCTTAATAAAATTCTTTTATTTATTTAAAAATAAAGTAAAATATACTCTATAAGACTAAGAACCACTTACAAGGTCAAAAGTGGGCTCCACATCATCCAATACATGCCAAATCAAGACTTGAACATTAGAAGTCTCTATTTCATGCCTTTTATACACTTTAAAAGGGCATTTCCACTTGTGTCCACCACTTGGTTTCATTGCATGTCTATAAATAGTTCTGGAAGCTTTCAAATTTTGATTGGACATCCTTATTGTGTTTATGAGCTTCTTGCTTGTGTTAGTTTGTGCCCTTTTGTTTTACATTTTGCTTTGTATCTTTTCATATTTCATGTTGGCCTTTATCATGGAGGATTTTTATGTGTTTTTCTTCTAGGAAATTGAAATGTTGATGGAAGATGCACACCACCTTCCTGTTACATATGTATCCAGTTCTTTGTTTATCTTGTTAATTGATGGGGTAAATTGGCTGAAGAAAGTTGCTGAAATTTCTATGCCATGCAACCGTAGAAAATTCAAGTTGTCTGATGCTGAAGAAATTCTTGGGCAATCTCAGGTATTTCTTGTATTTCTGATGCTGTAGAAATTCAAGTTTTCATTTTTCTCCTCTTAGCATTTTTGTTAGTGTGCTTTCATTTTCACTCCTGATAAATATGCTCAAGGTATTTTCTTATTGCAGAGTATTAAGGTGTCCTTTCCACCGATGGTCAGTCAACTTGATAATGCTATCAAGAAACATAAGTGAGTGTTATTTGCATCGCCCTAAATTATTATTCTTTCTTTCTTTCTCTCTCTCTTTTTTTTTTCCTCTTGTGTATATGTGTGTGTGTGGTTATTTCAGTCGTTCTCGAGTGATACAAATAAATTTCCAGTTGTAAGGTGTGAATGACATCATACAAAAATTATGTAACCACTAGCTCTGAAAACTCATTTGAACATCCCTGTATAACAAAAGGCAGGACACAAGTATATGTTCTGTGGATAATCATAATTCAAGAAACTTTGAATCAATCAAGTAACTTTTCAAAATGGATTCTTATAGAAAGGCCGATTATTTTTTTAATGTATTGTAGTTATTATAAAATTTGCAATGGCAAAAACCTTATTTTGCAGTGGAGGCTTCCTATTATAGAGCCTCTATTTCAAATGGAGGCTTTCGGAGCCTCCATTCCAAGTCTAGGCTTATAATTGAATTTTCTACTTCATCATCTATTTCCTGTAAGGTGTGTGACTTGGGATGAAATGGGTCTAGATTGTGAAATAGGTTGGGGTCAAGACAACTCTAGTAAAATTTTCAAAGTCAACAATATTGTAGTAATGTTTTTGGTAAAGTTAACGTATATCTTTATTCTCCTCCAAGTAGTATTTCACCTTGCCAATTTTTGTCCTGAATATTTAATTGCCCTCTATAAGAAGCAGATTCTCTGCACCTATGGCTTCTCACATGAACGACGTTGCTTTATAAATTTATTCATTTTGGCACATTTGTATCTATTTGAAAGTTGTAAACCAATATTTCTTCCCCTTTTCCTCCTCCCCAGCACATATTATCTCTAAGGCTGGTGTTTGGATCTTGGATTGGGGGAGGGAAAAGAAAAATAAAGGGAAATGTCAATGAAATATATGTTAATTTTTTTTCACTTTTAAGGGGTCATAGAATTAATGCATTTAAATTCAAATCCGAACGTATTGATTTCCCAAATTGGCCCTTTGTTCTCACTCTTAAATATATTCATAGCCATTACAGGGATAGGTTTGGAAATTGTAAAATTTTATGGTTTGATTTTTCAAAAAGCACTACATTTTGGGACATCCTAAATTTGAAAGGACTTAAAATGTGGGACAGAGGGATTTATCCAAAAAATAAAATAAAATTGTGGGACAGGGAGTATATGTCTGGACCTTATGTTCTCACTATTTTAATTTTCAGTTTACTTACTATGTTGGCTACAGCTAGTGCATCTTTTCTTCAGCCTACTGACAGTTTCAACTGTGAATTGTAGTTTGTGGCTAGAGCAAGTGCGTCTTTTCTTCAGCCTAAAGCCAGACGACCGGTCATGGATTTTATTGTTACAACTAAAGGTATACTATGTTATATCCTGATTATTTATTGCTTTCCTGAACATTTTTATGCTTACATAGTTGTACCTTGTGCACAAGGCTCCTGCTTACAACATAATCTGGGAGAGGTAGTTAACATATAAAGATAAATAATGTTGATTTGGAATGAATGACTGATCTTATGCTTCTAAACTGCTGATCATGTTTCTTGAATGGTGCCAAAACTTCCATTTTGTTGTGACAAGTCTTCTGAAGTATTGATTTAAGTCCCCTTCCACCTTTTTTGACCAAAAAGATGGTAAATTGATGGATTATCTGATTCTGTTGAGGATCGTACCCATTCTTAGTTTACCAAAATATATATTTTTTTTCATTTATTTATTTTTATAGGTTTGTATATGTGCCATTTGTGGAAGCATCAACATTTTTTTTCTAGCAACATTACAATTAGTTCTTTCCATCTAATCATCTAGTCTGGGATTTTGAGAGAATGGAGTCATGTAGTCAGCAGCTTGATGTGGTAAAAGTCCTTATAATTGTAGGAATTTCTTATATGACTTTCTGCTTCTAGAAGTAGCAAGTATGTGTACTCATCACTTACATCATTTCCTTCGTTGACCTAAGTAGTTTTTTTTTGTTTTTTTTTTTTGGGAGAAGTTCATTGTCTTAGGTAGCTTATGAAGCTAGTATATTCATATCCTATTCGAGAGTATTTCAAGTACTGAGTCTGGGTTCTTGTTGGAACCAAGTGCTTTGTTATTGCCTGGTATTGTGAGCTGTTAGTATTTTAATTGCTATAATGTTACATCTTGTCACACCCCTCCCTCTTTCAATGGGTGAGCCTTAGATTGTGAAAGAGGGGCTAAGGATGCAATCTAAAAGCTGTGGAGAATGGAGATAACAGATTGGGTCAACATTTTTTAAGTTGAAGTTTTGATACCTCTGTTTGCATTTGGTTCCCCAAATATTATACCAATTAAGATGTCTATGTCAAAGTGGAGTCATGTGGCCTGTCAAAGTGCAGATATCTGTGATTTGTGGCACTGAACTGCGGATTGCTTATTACTTCAATCCTGTTTCATGGATTTTTTTTCTTCTGATAATTAAATAAAGTTGAAAGGGGTGAAACCTCTTTACACTGTAGGGGTGAATTCTCTTTACACAGTGGGAGCAAAACTAAAAGACAACAACAAAACTAAACTCTCCTAAAAATCAATAGAAGTTAAAAACAATTAAAAAGCTATCTTGACAGCTGAAAATGATATGTATGAAGCAATTTTGCTTAGCCCTTTGTTTGTACCTAAGAAGCACGGACACTTCCAAGAAAGGAACTTGTTAACACTCGATGGATATTTCCCAACACTTGGACACTTATGAAACATATTACAAGTTTGAATAAAATAACTTGGCATTCAATAATAAAACAAAAACATTGTAAACTTATATCATATCACTCGTTACTTTTTGCACGTCTTTTCGTAAAATGTCAAATAGCCAATTCCCATACGGGACCTAAATATATAAAATTATATATTTTTCACATGTCCCTCACGTGTACATATTTTGAAAATTCGTGTCGGCGTGTCCATGTTCTTCCTTTGTAGGTTGGTACCATTTTTGTTTGGTTTCTTCTCATTTTCACTTAACTGATATTAACAAAACTAAGCTCTCTCAAAAGCAATAAAAGCAGGAGAGTCACAAAACTTCCTTAGAACTGAAAATGAAATTTATGAAACTATTCCATTTTCAATCTATAGATCCTCAAAAGTAATTTGCTTCTGCTCCCTCCAAATGTATCACATTAAACACATAGGAGCAACTATCCAAGACTGCTTCCTTAAATTACAAGCTCAACTAAGATTCTTGCCTTTTTCTTAGAATCTTGTTGGCATAATATTTGTTTGGTTTTTTCTCAATTTTACTTGACTACTTATATGATTGGATCACTTTCAGGAACGTGGGAGCACTGATGCCTTTAATTGCCCTGAGCTAGACATGGCTTCAGATGAAGTTCAAAAGGTTGAGCGATGGAAGCAACGCTGTGAAGACATTGCTGGGACTTCAGTTGGAGATATGACAACACTGCTACATACTTTATTAGAGGTTTGAAACAGATAATCTCTTTTAAATTTTATATTTTAGGTAAATCTTACTAACCCATGTGTGGTTTCTTACGATTGCAAGGACCTCCCCTCAAGTCTTTCAAATAAGAATGAGACCCTTTGTAAGAGTTGCCAATAACAAACACTAACAAAAATAGGTGTTTTACAAATTGTTCTTATACATTGGTTGTATTTTCAACCTAAAAAATGAAACATATGAGTGCATCTGAGAGGGAGAGAACATCATTGATTCCTCCAACCAATAATGTTCATGAGCACACTAACTTTCAAACACGCTAAACCCTTACCAACCATGGGCATCAATTCACGATCAAGGTGTATTTTTATTGAATTTAACTAATGTAAAGTTGGTATTTCATTATATTAAAATGCTGACATCATAGTTTTTTCTTGTCAATAAAGTTGACAGATCGTTTACAAGAGTTCCGTATATATTGATGGGTGAAGTGGTGGTGTAATTATAGAAATTTGAGGCTAGGTTCTTGCAATTTTTAGAAACCTCGGGGGTATTTATGCTGTTTGCTCCTTATTTTATTTATTTATTATTATTTATTTACTTCTCCAATTTTGTTTGATTAATTATGGTTTTCAGTAGACATATTAAAAATCTTTCTATGTTTAACAGATAATAAACACTCTTGATAAATCCTTGTACATATATGGCTTATCTAAGGGCTGCAAGGCCACAGAACTATGCATATGCTGCTTCGGTAATTTTGAGGATCAGGAGTTTTTAACTTGTTCGGTGTGCAAGGACCGGTAAGGTATCAAGGTCCAATTTCATTGTCAGGAGTCCTTTTTTCATTTTGTTGGCTGAAGAAAAAACTTGCGTTGGAAAATCATCGTTTTTGAGGTTTTAAAGGAGAATATTGAGCAATGTGTTAGTTTTGGAACTAGAGACAACTGTTTCTTTACTTGCATAATCTTACAATTAATCTGTATGTCACCACTTTCTGGTTATATTAACAGCTACCACGTGCGGTGCCAAAGTCCAACACCAGCTGATGCAAATGGTGCCGCATTATATTTGTGCCATTATTGCCACTTTTTGGAAAGTGGGAAAATCTCTCAAAATGGTGGCGGTCCGCTGGTAAGCATTTTTGTTCTCAAGGTGTCTTCGTACAGAGTTCAGAATTATGGTCTTACTTTCAGTTTGTGTCGTGCAGAAATTTGGAGGGAAGTGTGCTGGGTTGAATAAGCTTATTGAGCTTCTATCTGATGCTGAAGATTTCTCTCTATGGTAATAAGCAGGCTGTTGATTCATTTTTTCATAATGTATAGGTGTCCTAGTATGTTGACTTTTTGTGATGCAAAGTTAGTTCCGGTTAAAATGTTTGAAAGGGATTTCTTGGTGGCTGGTGATGGTTTATGGAGTCTCTTATTTGTGTATCCTGAAGAGTTTGGCTGGAAAAGATGGTTTATGAACATGGGGGAAACGCCCATATATATTGGTCACAGTTACCTAAGATTCCTCAGTGGTGATAGTGATGAAATATATATTCTAATGATTTCTCATTGGCTGAAGTCATGATTCTTTAGTTAGTATTTAGAGATGCTTTTGGTTATTTTTTAAATATATATATATATTTTATTATTTTTAGTTATGTCACAAACTAGAGGGAATAAAAAGAGTAGGAATGATTATGCAATGTGTTTCTTTAATCTTCAGTGGTAAAAAGATGGATGATTTCATCAAAATGATATGACTGCTGTTGACAGGATTGAGGAGAGAAGTATACTTCGCAAAGTTGTGGATAAATCTCTTGCATGTAAAGCTTGCTTAACAGAAATTGTGGATTTTGCTTTAGCTTATCATGATGAAGATTTCAGCATCGTTGCTGAAAAACTATCAATTGCAACGAAGGTACTTGTTGCTTGCCCTTACATTGTTTTCATTTATTTATGATATATTATGCTCAAGAAGCATTCATTTATTTTCCATTCTCTATCATAGTCGTTCTTATACAAGTCTCTTTCTGTCTGGAAATGTTTGTTCATGAATCATGAGTCTTATCTTCCTGGAATATTGTCAGCCTCTCTTTAGCTGCATTGCAGCCACAAATCATAGCCCTCCTGCACTCTTTCGGGTTTTTTCTCCCTCTTCCTGCTTGGCATTGACTTTCATTGCATTCAGGCAGTAGAAGTGGCAGGTGTTTGTGATCATCAGGGTAATTGCAATTTTGAGCTGGCATTAGCAAGAAACTCTTGGCGAGTCAGGGCCAATAAACTGTTAGTAGGTCCGCAGAAGCCCACAATCCAACAGATTCAGCGACATTTGAAAGAGGTATTATTATTATATGGTTCATTATAGCCTGCTTTTTCATTCATGACCATCTTGGATAATTGCAATGAACTTTGACATGGGAAAAATGAAATAGAAGGAAAAAGATATTGGGTCGGATAAGGACTTTATGTTTGAATTTAGGTTAAGGATTATTAATCTCATCTTGTAAGTTCCATCTTGTAGGGCCTCGCTATAAGCATACCTTCTGAGGATCACTTCTGGAAGAAACTTACCGAAGTGAAACACGTGTGCACAGAGTGGGCAGATAAGGCCAAGAAGGTCCATGATTTTTTTGATATAATCTCAATTTCGTTTACTAAAAAAAGGATCTGTGTTAAGTTTACTCTGGCTTTTTAGTTCAAAACTGTTATTGCCCCTTCTACAGGTTTCAATGGACTCCGGAGCACTAGGGTTGGATAGGGTTTTTGAGCTTATTACAGAGGGTGAAAATTTGCCTGTTCACTTTGAAAACGAACTTATGGTAAGAAAAACATCTTCATGCACATGTAAGACTAATTATTTCATTTGGAAAAGGAGAAGTTCCTACTTTATAATTTAATCTACCTTATCTGTATGTTTGAAATGCAGTTATTAAGAGATCGAAGTATGCTTTACTGCATCTGTCGAAAGCCTTACGATCAGAGAGCAATGATTGCTTGTGACAAATGTGATGAGTGGTATCACTTTGATTGCATTAAACTCTCTGTTCCACCAAAGATTTATATATGCCCTGCATGTAAGCTTCAGGCAGAGGACCTGTCTTCATCACCAACAATTACCCTAGATAGGTAAGCATATTTCAGTGAATATGTATTCTATGAGGAAAACTTATTTCATGCACATAACTTTAGTTCTTCCAAATCTTGTTTCAAATTTATATTGGTGTTGGTTTGATCGAGAGGGCATATCTTGCGTTAATTGTTAAATAATTGGTGGCAATGGTTTTTTTCTCAAAACCCTGACTTGCTCTCCCTGGCCTTCCTCTTATCCTTCTGACATCAAATTAACTCTCGGCATTGATGCATTTAATGGTCTTTGTTGCATAATATGTATTAAATTTCCCTCGTATCTTTTTCAGTTGGCCACATAACCTTCTTATAAATTCTTTCTTGTGCAGAAACCTCTTTAAATAATAAATAATTTAAGGAAAATAATTCATCCACACAATTTCTTTTCCCCAAATCCCCCAACTGACGTGGCAAGCAAAATTTGGAAAGTCGACATTTAAATATTTTCTAAAAAAACTCTCCTTACATGCATTCTGTCTTGCCACCTCATTAGGGGGATCGTGGGAGAGAGAAATTGCGTGGATGTAGCACTGCTGATAATTTAATGCTGCACGGCAGCCGTGGGCATTTCTCCAATCTTTCAATTTGATGGTCAAAGTCATATTGAATTCTTCCGTCTTTCTGACTTCTGCAATTAATTGCCCTCTATAAATTTTTAATTGTCTGTCTTGCTTATTATGAAACATTGTTATCTTAATTATATGTGCATGCATACATGCACTGGTATCTAATTAGATGGTTGCAATTGCAATCTCCTTTTTTTTCCCCTTTATTCTTTGCTTGCTTGACTTTTCACTTTGTTCGTTTTTGAAATGATAACTTGGATACTTGTTCAATCATAAATTGTTGTACCATTGCTAGAACATGTATAATGAGAGAACAGAACAATTGTCTCTGCTCCGATGTGTTTGTGGTAGACACTGACTAATAATGTTGGAGGCTCAAATTTTGTAGGAAGTAAAATTACTAGCTTACGTGAAACAAGATCTCAAAATATTCCCAGTAATTTCTTGATGTTGCTGTGCTGAATGTCATCTACTATCATCTTTTATCTTAAACCACTCATTCAAATGGTGTTAGCTGTCAGAAAGCATTCATACCTCCTATATTTTTTGCAGTTGCTGATCCATTATCTTCATTTGTTTCATTTTGTGTGATACAGATCAATTGGGTTGAACTGTGAAGAGCCTCAAACGCCCTCTCCACGGCGCAGAGAGTTGAGATGTAAATCAAGAAAACCAAAGTCCAGCACAAAGCGAAAGTTGCTGGTAACTGCAGATGACAGTAATGTCTTGAGGCATTCTAGTGGGATTGAATGTTTGTTATGGAGAAACCGCAAACCTTTCAGAAGAGTAGCTAGAAAACGCTCGCAGCTTGAGAGCCTGTCTCCATTTTTTATTATTCAAAAATAATTGTCAGATAGATATCAATCATTTTATCAATTCAATTGATTCTTAACACATTTTCATGTTTTCTTGCCACACCACCCCCCCGGTGTTTTACCGTACCCCAAAAGGTGGCTACTCTCTCTCTCCTTTTTAAGTTCTTTTACAATTTTGCAGCTAGAGATAGAGAGATTGCATTTTTGTATTGATGGGCATGCCTTGGCAAACATCATGATTGCAGGAGAGGGGAAAATAAATGTTGTTGGTTGGGGTTAATCTAATTTTAGAACTAGTAACTTTCAGATAAGAAAGGGTCAACTTTTGATATAAAAGTGATTTCCAGTTCTCTTGTTAGGGGTCCCCTGAATTTTATTTAGCAATTATTTATTTTGTCAAAGTCTAGAAATCTTGCTATCAATAATGAGTTTTTGCGCAGTGGTTTGGTCAGATGCAAAGGCTAAACATCTTCATGCACATGTAAGACTAATTCCCCCCCCCAAATTTTTTGTTGTCTTTAGTTATTTATTTATTTAATTTAAATGCCTAACTTGTTATAAAAATAAATTAAAAAATGTAATCAGCCACTAGCAGATAATTTGTCTATTGTTAGCTCTGATATTCACATGTTGCTTCTTAAGTAGATGAGTTGTACTATACTGTAAAGAGAAGATCCAAGACAATATATAATTGTTTTTTTTTTTTGAATATATATAATTGTTGTTAACTACAGGTTTTTTTGTTTAGCTTTTGGTTCTGTGTTACAATGTGATTATACCTATTAATTTTTGAATAAAAAAAAATCCAAGTATTAAATTTGATCATAATCTGTTGCTAATGCACTTCTAGATTGGGAAGATGTAACCATGTATGGCTTTCCTTCTAGTTGAACTTTGAGCATGATTGATAGTGTTTTGGTTTTTGGTTGTTTGTTTATATTTTTTGAAAAATAAACTTCTTGTTTTACAAATTATATGGCTCTATTTTTTTTAATGTTTTTATTATTTAAAATTTGAAAATCCAAATAAAGCTCTCAAAACATCAACATAGTTTTGAGATAACCCCTTTTGAATCATGCAAAATCTCATAAACCAAACCCTAACTCAACATACATCAAAATATCATCAAAAATCACCAATGACTTGCTAATATATATATATATATATCTATAATAAGTCAGGACAGTTTTTGAATTTTGAACATATTTTTGTCTTATTAGGACGTTTGAATGGTTCAAATCTGTTCAAATTATAAAACAATGACTGAGATATATTTTTTTAAAAATGTCTATATTTTTTATTTTCCCGCTTCTCTCTCTTGCTTTTTTCTTTTCTCACCCATCTTTCCATGATTCCACTTTCCTCCCTCTTTTCTTTTTATTTTTTTATTTTCTCTCATTTTTATTTTTCTCTCTATTTGTTTATTTATTTATTTTTTTTTTATTCACTTATTTTTATTCACACCGTATCTATATATTGCAAGTTTGAAATGAACCTTGCACAGTAAATGAGATGAGTGGTAAATTATTTAATTCTTGAGTTTTAAAATATAGAGTATAATATAAATATACCTGTTGAGATTTGTTTAAAACATAAATTATCTTTTGTGGTTTAAAAAAATTACAAATGCTCATTTGTTAGAATTTTTTATTTAATAAAATTAATGGATAAATTACAAATACACTACTTGAGATTTGATTAAAATATGAATATTCTCCTGTGGTTTTGAAGATTACATTTCACTCCCTGAGGTTTCGAATTTCATAACAAATCGCCAATTTTATTAATAAATTATTAAGTCAATTAACAATTTTTAATGATGTCAAAAACATGTTTTAATTAATAATTTAGGTAATTTTATTATTGTATAGGAGAGCAATTATGAATTTCATTTTTTTAGTTAATTCTATTAAATAAAAAATTCTAATAAGGGAGCATTTGTAATTTTTCAAACCGTGGGTGTCAATCTATAATAAGTCAGGACAGTTTTTGAATTTTGAACATATTTTTGTGTTATTAAGACGTTTGAATGATTCAAATCTGTTCAAATTATAAAACAATGGCTGAGGTATATTTTTAAAAAAATGTCTATATTTTTTATTTTTCCGCTTCTCTCTCTTACTTTTTTCTTTTCTCACTCATCTTTACATGATTCCACTTTCCTCCCTCTTTTCTTTTTATTTTTTTATTTTCTCCCATTTTTATTTTTCTCTCTATTTGCTTATTTTTTTTATTTTCTTTTTATTCACTTATTTTTATTCACACCGTATCTATATATTGCAAGTCTGAAATGAACCTTGCACAGTAAATGAGATGAGTAGTAAATTATTTAATTCTTGAGTTTTAAAATATAGAGTATAATATAAATATACCTGTTGAGATTTGTTTAAAACATAAATTATCTTTTGTGGTTTAAAAAAATTACAAATGCTCATTTGTTAGAATTTTTTATTTAATAAAATTAATGGATAAATTACAAATACACTACTTGAGATTTGATTAAAATATGAATATTCTCCTGTGGTTTTGAAGATTACATTTCACTCCCTGAGGTTTCGAATTTCATAACAAATCGCCAATTTTATTAATAAATTATTAAGTCAATTAACAATTTTTAATGATGTCAAAAACATGTTTTAATTAATAATTTAGGTAATTTTATTATTGTATAGGAGAGCAATTATGAATTTCATTTTTTTAGTTAATTCTATTAAATAAAAAATTCTAATAAGGGAGCATTTGTAATTTTTCAAACCGTGGGTGTCAATTTGTATTTTAAGCAAATCTCAAGATTGTATTTGTAATTTACCCAGAATTAATTGAAAAAAATGAAAATTTTAAACTGCTTTTCTATATAATAATAAAATTATTTAAATTATCAATTAAAATAAAATTTTGATATAATTAAAAATTCTTTATTAATTTGATGATTCATTAATAAATATGGCCAATTGTTATGAAATTCGAATTGTCAAGAAGTGAGATGTAATTTTCAGAACCACCAGAAGTAATTTATATTTTAAGCAAAATTGTATACTTGTAATTTACTATAAAATATATTTATATTTATATTTAACTTTAAAACTTTAGTTCTTGAAATGTGTCCATATTTTTATTTATTTATTTATATAACAAGTTCATTTCAAGCAAACTTTTAGCATGTAATTTTGTCGAGCCGAAGGAGCCTTTTTGTCTTGTCGAAGGACCTTTTTCGTCCTGAATCAAGCCGAAGGAACTTTTTCGTCTTGCCATCCTACATACATCTTCATATTTTTACAATTATTTTATCTATTTTTCATTGATTTGTAATTTCGCATTTGAAAGTATTACCACCCCTCACATTTTTGTTTTGTTGTATTTTGTTTTTTCAATTTTTATAAATACATTGAATCTAATTAACAAATTAGTTTTTTCTTAAATTCCAAACACAACTATTATTTTTTTTGTTTTTCAAAAGAACACCAAAAAAGAGTTTCATTTTGAGAGATTAACCAATAATCTTAAATGTTAAAATTGTGATCCAGTTAGTCTCGAGATTTTTCTTAGGTTCTGTTTGGTTTTATTAGATGTATAATGACAAATTTAACCTTTTGTTGGGTATTACAGTGGGAAGAAACAGGTATCATAGTAAAAAAAATGAGCAAATTACATATACCTCCCTCGAAGTTTAGTTAAATTGCAGATATTCCCTTGAGGTTTCGGAAATTACAGATACCCTCCTGAGGTTTATATTTTCATAACAAATTACTCCCTAAGGTTTATATTTTCATAACAATTTGTCTCTTAATTTGCTATGCAAATAGTGGGCGTATCTGTAATTTCTCAAACTTCAGAGGGGTATCTATAATTTTGCTAAATCTCAAGGGAGTATATGTAATTTGCCCAAAAAAAATACACAAAGTTTTTTTAGAGTCTTCCTTTGTGGTGAATCATGTCACATCAACAATCTCCCAATCTTTTGTTGGGTTTTTATTAGGTATTATAGTAGAAAAAAGTAGATGTCATAGTAACCAAAAAAAAAAAAAAAATAGAAGAAGAAAAAAAAGAGTACGTTATATCTTTTTTAAAACCTTTCCTTGTTGTGTAACATGTAACATGCCATATTATTTGGATTTTGTTGGGTGTTTGGAAAAAAAAGTGAGTGTTACCATGAAAAAAATACACTATAATTTTTTTAAAACCTCTTCTTGTGATGGAATACACCACAAGTTTTTGTTGGATGTTACCGTGGAAAAAGTGGGTGTCACAGTGAAAAATGTTACACAACCTTGCTTCATACACCTAGTGGGGGTCGCGCCCCCAGTGACGTGGCGCGCCCCCATTGGTCGGAAATCAAAAAAAAAAAAAAAAATTGTTTTTTTCGGACCAACCCCCAGCTGACACCTCACTGGGTGTCACCCCCAGCTGGGGGTAGGAAGCATTTTTCAATGTTACAACCATTCAACAAAAATTATCAAACATACAAAACAAGATCTCATAGTTATATTGTCAATACCAAAATAAAAAAAATATGGAATTGATTGGAATAACTGTTTCTGAGATTGGGACATTTTGGTAATTTTCTCCTTTCATTTTCAACTTTTTTGTAAATTACATTCATACAAAAATAAAAGTGACAAGTATTTTTAAAATTTTGTATTATTTAAATTAAAAACCCCAAAAAAAGTGAAAAAAAGTGAGTGTCACCATGAAAAAAAATCAACAATGATAGAGACCGTTAATTTTGGAGCTCTAAAAAGATCACTAATGGCATGACACTCAATAAAAAAAGAAAAAAAATACAACACCAAAGCCAAAACATCAAATCATTCATGGTGGAATCCACTGCCATCATTAGTGATAGTACTAATTAGTGCTCTCACTCATTTTCCATAAAAAAAAAATATGGAATTGATTGGAATAACTGTTTCTGGGATTGGGACTTTTTGGTAATTTTTTCCTCTCATTTTCAACTGTTTTGTAAATTACATTCATACAAAAATAAAAGTGACAAGTATTTTTAAAATTTTGTATTATTTAAATTAAAAACCCCCAAAAAAATGCCATACTCGCCTCGCCATTTCTAATTTTTGGTGGTCGCCGCTATCTTTTTGTTTGCAGCTAGCCTACAAATCCAGAAAAACCGTTTCAAATATCGCTCTAATCTCAGGCTCAGGCACTTCCATGCTCTCATACTCCTACAATCTAAGGTAACTCTCTCTCTCTCTCTCTCTCTCTATATATATATATATATATATGTTTTGATGAATGCGCTTAGCTAAAGTTTTCGTTCTCCAACTGTTTGTTGAAACGACTGAGAGAGCAGATATGTTTTGATGAATGCGCTTAGCTAAAGTTTTCGTTCTCCAACTGTTTGTTGAAATGACTGAGAGAGTAGATATGTACATATATATATATAAGCCTTGTATATACTACTCTAATCAGATTTGTTCATTTTAGTTTGAAGTGAGAACTCAACATTTCCAGTGGTGGGTGCTTGTAGACTTCTGAACATGGGATGATTTCTGTGGAGAAAGATTGATAGTCCTTTTTTACTGGAATTATGCACCTGTTATCTATACTATCTATACTTGTTCAAGTTTGGTTTGAATATTTTAAGGAGTTTTAAAATTTATTCAAGCTTGGTTCATTAAACTTTTGAGCCGATTTCAAATGAACTTTGTTGAGCTGAGAGTTCAAATAGTTTGGTATTTTTATATAGTTTTAGGCTTGTCGAACTGAGCTGAACGAGCAATTGACTGTTCAAGTTAGGTTTGAAAAGTTTAACAAGGTCCAAAATGTGTTTAAGATTGGCTTTTTTACTTAACGAACTGAGTTTGACAGGCTCGAGATGTTTGGTTCATTTATTGCCCCTATTTAGTACTAGCTATACAATATTTACACACATATAATGTGAGCAGCCTATTTGGTGTGATCATAACCACAAGTTGTGTCACGCATCTTTTAGTTTCAAAATTGTCCACCGACAAGCTAGATTTTCAATTTGTTAGGATTGAAACGGTTGAGTTTCCTACTCTTTTTCATGAGTCCAATGTCTCTGCCATGTTTTTCTGCAATAATCTTGTTGTGCTTTTATCATAGCAAGACGTTAGCAAAGTACATAACTCAATGGTTCGAGCTAAAATTGAACTAAAATGACATTAAAACCACATACTCTAAAACGAACATCAATAACCACACAACCTTAATTTTTTACAATTTCAAACAAAAGTTTGATTATTTATTCTAAATCTCGACACAAAATTTACAGAAATAGAATGCATGATGTTGGTCAAAAACATATTTCATAAATTAATATACAAAACAATCAATTTAGGGGAAAAAAAATATGCAATGAAAATAAGGGGTATGTGCCATCTTATTAATGGTATTAGGGCTAAGGGTAGATTGTATGTGGTTAGATGCAAGGTGAAATTGCATGTACATTTAGTCGGGTTGAGTTGGTCCGTAGGTGGATTGACAAATTTTAACTAGTAAGCCAACTGATCCACCCAATCCACTCACCCGTACGGGTTAATTTGGTCGGTTTGGGTTGGACGGGTTGGTTGTCGTTTTTTGCCCCACACCTTGTAGAGAGACCGATTGCAGAGAATCCTCATTGTTCACCCCCATTACATAACAACCCATGACCCAGACCAGTTAGTTTCCTACTCTTTCACAAGTTCTTCGACAACCCAGTAAGTCTCAGTCTCCACGTTGTCTCTCCTTTGCTCCCTATTCTGTGAAATGAATGAATGCGGTTTTTTATTTTTTATTTTATAAATAAATGTGTTCCTTTGTATCCAATACCAATCTTGGATAAATTTTTGTACTTCCTTGTTTATACTGATTCAATGGTCATGCCGCAATTCCTAGCTGTAGTAACTATGTTACATGAACAGATCAATAAGCTTCTCCCTCTCCCACTATCCGTATCTTGCATGGTTGCATCCTTCTTTTGCTCTGATACTTTTAAGTTTTGGTGTCTCATTTTATGGTCTAAGGTACAAAGAAGTTGTTACACATGTTCTACAACTTTCTCTAAAATGCATCTCATTCATTCACTTTCAATTGGTTTTAAAATCTCAAATATTTTTGGGGTTATGAGTTTATATAGTTTGATGATATGTGTTTTTTAAGTTCATGTAGATTTAAAATCACCAAACGTTTGAGCTTTGGCTTCTGAGGAAAGTTGTAGTATATGCTTGGTTGGAATATTGTTTTTGAATGGATCTTTAGTAATTCAGATTAGCATTTTTCTTTGTGGGAAACTGATGTAGAATTAATTTTTCATTGAAAAAAATGAGCCTCATAAATAAGCTTCACCTTTACTAGGGCCGGCCCTGGGCATAGGCCTACCAGGCCATGGCTTAGGGCCAAGGTTCTGAAAAGCGGTTGCGGTTGCCGTAACGGTGGCGGTGACGCGGTTGCGGTTGCGGGGTGTAAAGGCCGTAGTGTAACGGTTTTTAAAAAGGCCCAAACTAACTTAAAATAAATTTAAAAAGGCCCAAACTAACCTTTACTAGATTATAATGTGAACAACTCAATTGGTGTGAACAAAAACTGAAGCTATATAACACTTTTTTTCCATTCCAAAAAAAAATCATAAAAAATTGTTACCATCCAAATACTCATATCTCTACTAATTGTAAGTTTTTAATCTTTGCATCATATCACTCTTTCTTTGCAGCCAATTAAGATTTCAAACATGGTAGAATTGCACACAACTGGCCACTAGTGTATGTATATGTTTTTTTGTGCATGACATGCACTCCACATCGTGTTTATCAAAGTATTAGATGTAACACTTTCAAATTATGGATATGTAGATGAAATATGTGAAGGCATTCAATTTGTTCCATGATTTGATGAAGACGAAACCATTAGAACGAGGGCGTTTGCTTGGTCTCGATGTTGGTGATAAATATGTCGGTCTAGCTGTTTCAGATACAAACAACAAGATTGCTTCACCTCTGAGGTATGAAACTTCATTGGACACAATAAGTTTGAATGTTTTCGTGCTCTCTCTTAGGCATTTCATGGAAGTTCTATGTATTTTTCAGATGTATTTTTTCAGCAAGACATATGTAACAAGTACCCACTATTGCTATAAAATTCACTAGCATAGTATGATCTACATAGAGTTAAGGATATTTGTTGTGTGTTTTCTGGGCACTTACTGGGTGCTACCTGACATGGTAAAACTAATGGTGCTTGGTCTACTGGGTTCTTGTTTCCCTTTGCGCATTGAACGTTAATCTGAATATTCATTCTTTCTATCAGCCATTCTGCAAGACCTTTCATAACATTTAAAGTAAATAAAAACTTAATAATTTTTCTGTCTTTTCTAATCAATTTTATGAAGAACTAACTCACTGTTTCAACTTTCAACCATATTTTGAAATGTTTAAAATTTGCCTTTGTTTTGAGTCAATTTAAAATGTTTTCTACTCAAAATACTCAGCATTTAGATATTTAGTTTTGCTTCTGAAAAAAATTATGCTGAAATAGAAAATTTGAAACCTTTTTTGTGACTTGGTCATATGCGCCTTTCCATTCCATTCTGCAAACTGTGCTTGTTATTTGTGGACAATATGCCAGCAGCCCACTTTGATCTATGTTGCAACTCTGGTACTTACAATGGAATAGGGCATCAAGAACAGGTGGAGTATATGTATATCAGCCTAGTTGATATGTTGGTGGATGCTCCTACTTGCCAAAGCTCCAATATGCACTATAAATTTGGGTGTAAATATAGTTAATTACGCTTGCTTGATGTGGTATATTTGGGAAGATCAAGGTCTTTTATGGTTTGGAGGCCCACATCGGACAAGTATTTGTTTTTTGATAGCTTCACAGTTAGGGTACGTGAAGGGTGATGTTTTTTTGGATTTCCTTGAACATATATACCTTTCTTATGCATCATGTTTACCTGGGTTTTGGTCCATTTGGCAACTCTAATTAGTTATTTACTTAATAAAAAAATATAAAAAAAAGTGATGATGGGATTAAACTTGAAAGTCTTGGTGAAAGCAATTATGACTCTGTTCTAGTCCCTTGGTTTGTGTTAACATAAAGGATTTTTTTGTATCAAGTGTGTTTACAAGACAAACCATTTGTAGTTGTCGAAATTTGTTGTGGTCTTTATGTATGGTCAAGGTTCTGAAAAGCGGTTGCGGTTGCCGTAACGGTGGCGGTGACGCGGTTGCGGTTGCGGGGTGTAAAGGCCGTAGTGTAACGGTTGCGGTAACCGGAACCGTGAATTTTTTTATTTTTCGCACAATTTGAAAAAACTTACCGATACGCATATTTTTTTTCCATGATCATATTTATTGGGTTAAAAATAAATATTGATCAATTTTTATAAATTTTTAAGTATGATCCAATATATTTCATATTTTTAAATCACTATAAATTGAGTTTTTTATATTTTATTTTAATAATTAATGGCTTTATATTATACAAAAAATCAATCACTAACTATTATATATAAGATAAACAATGACAAAAGTAAGAGAATAAATAAGAATCTAAATATATATATATATATATATACATATTTTAACCAAGCCAAATAGATAATGACCACACTTATTAGTATTATTATTTCCAAATAATATATAGATAGACACACACAAACAAAATGGTTTAGTGATAGCAGCTGAATAGAATAGCATATGTTTTATAGCTTTAACAAATCAATAACATGTTCTTCATCTTCCCTCTTCTCTCTCTCTATCTCTTGCTCCTTCATTTTCTCTCTTTATCTTCCCTCTTCTCTCTATCCCTCTTCCTCCATTTTCAGCTTTTTTTTTGTGTTTTTTCGAAAGAAACTGTTTAGAACCGTTACGTAACGGCGTGTATTAGGCCGTTACGACCGCTACGGTAGCCGTTACGGCCGACACACCTGTGAATCTCAATCACACTGCAAAAGCGGCCGTAACGGGTGGCGGTAACCGCCAAAACCGTTACGTAACGGCGTTACGTAACGGTTGCGGCCGCTTTTTAAAACCTTGTGTATGGTCTTAGAATAATGTTGGCTGTTGTCTATGCATCAGTGTACTGATTCGGAAGAAATCAAAGATTGATTTGATGGCAAGTGATTTTCAAAGCTTGGTGAGTTCGTAATTCTCCTCTCTCTTTTTTTCTCCTCTGAAATCACTCCTTTTATGTTTGGAGGGTTAACTTTGCTTGAAACAAAATTTTAAGTGTAATTTTACATACTGTGGAGAATCTTTAATCCGAAATTTGTTATTATGTTCTTACTGGAGAATACCAAGATCATGGCTCTAATTATTTCAACAGCAGTTGATTTTGTCTTTTTGGGGTACTCACCAGCCACAGCTTTCCTTTCCTACAAAAAATTGTTTAAGTGGAGGTGAATATTGTTGCTTTTGTGGTGTATTATTGTTAAGGGCAACTGATTTATTACTTGCCCTGGGAAATTTATTTTCTTGTGTAATAAAAGATCTGGAAGATTGTTTTTCTTTATTAGCTGTGACACCTCTGTATTAGAATGTCACTTTTGCCCTTAATTTGATTTATGCTGAATGATGAGTAATCCGATTTCAGGCATTGTGTTTATTCTCTGTAATCATCTGTTACTAGTCCAACAAAGTAATCAGCCAGTTCTCGCTGCAGTACATGTGACAGTCTCCAGTTGTGGTTACATGCTATAAATGTAGAAAAACTTTTCAGAAGGAAATTCTTTTTTTGTTTTTGTTTGTGTGTGCATGTGCGCCCTATGATTGGGATGAAAACTTTGATGTTATTTGATACCTTGGATCGCTTATCCAAAAAATATATATATTTACATAAAGTAATTTGAGACCTTGGATCATAGTGTAGGCTCTACTGACATTTGGTTTATGCTGACATATGTATTTAATTCATGGTGTATTACACAAAGGTATATAATGACTTCCAAATATGATGGTGGTTTAAGAGTTGCCAAGATATATTTACCACAATTGAGGTAAGTATGCCAGGAAACGGTTTATTACTTCAGTAATTAGTTGATACGGGATAAATATCCACAGTGCTATGCATCTTTGCCTTTCAAATCACAAGTAATGTGGGAATGGTTATGAAGTTTGAACCATTTTTTGTCCTTAATTATAGTCACATGTGCATTCTGTTTGCATGCAGATCTCTGAACTCTCAAATTGAACCTTTTGTTTGTGTGCAGATCTGTGAACTCTCTCTTACAGGCTTCGTTTTTGGCTATCCTTTCGATAGGCTCAGAAGCAGTCCAGATGTGTGCTTTCATTTCAGAAATCATTTTTGACTTGTCTGATTTACTTCCTACTTACAATATCTTTTCTTCTCCTTTTCATTAGGCTGTGCAAGTGAAACTTTTAATTGATGACCTCTGTAAAACAGGGAAACTGGAAGGTTTAAAATATACCTTTTGGAATGAATGCTTCACATCAAAGGTGGGTACTTCTAAATTTGGACTTTCGTCAGCGACTGAATAAATCATGATCCTTTTCCATGGTTATATCTTTTTATTTTAGCACATGCAAATCTTTTTGATTTTCCTGTTGGTGGAACCCTTGGGGATGTGATACTACGCCGAATTGCCAATTTTCTAACTAAATATCCAATGTGTTATTTCTTTATTCCTTATTTGTTTTGGTTTTGTTTTTTGAGTTTGAAGATTTAAGCATTCATAAATTTAGGAGGCTTTCAAAGACCTAGCTTAGGCCTAGCAGTAGGAGAAATCTGCCAAATCTGGTTAAATAATTTAGAATGAATCACACTGATTCTGTTCTCACTTAATGACTTATCTTTATATACACGATCTCTGCGCAATTTTATTTGATAATGTTGACAGGAATTATCAATGATTGTGGTGCTTATGATTTGTACGCAGAATGTGGAATTATTGTTGAAACCTTTAAATTTACAACCGGTGCTATCCAAAAAGTGTTTTTAGGCCTAGCAGTAGGAGAAATCTGCCAAAGCTGGTTAAATGATTGAATCATACTGATTCTGTTCTCACTTAACGACTTATCTTTATATACACGATCTCTGTGCAATTTTTTTTGATAATGTTGACAGGAATTATCAATGATTGTTGTGCTTATGATTTGTATGCAGAATGTGGAATTATTGTTAAAACCTTTAAATTTACAACCGGTGCTATCCAAGACGATAATAGACAAATTTGCTGCTGTCGGAATACTCCAGGTATTTCTCTTCTTGGACATGCAATAGGTTAGTAGAAATTCCTAGTAAAAAGATTAGAGGATTCTATTTGTGACATCGATTAGGTTGACCTGTATATTGGTTGTTTGGCAGGCATACCTAGATTATGCGAACAGGAATCTAAAGTTGAAATCAGCAGGGTAAGACCTCTCCAGAATGGTGAGAGCATCTATAAATTTTATGAATGTTCTTCTTGTATGAGAGCCTCTTTATCAAACCTAAGCTACTATAGTTATGATCGGTTGAACGATTACATATTTATATCTCCAACTGATATTGAAATTCATGGCCATCTTTTGATGGCACATTACTTTTTACTATGAATGGAATGGAATTATCACAGCCTCACTGTGTTTTGAGAATGTTTGTTGTTATTTGAGTATGTGGTGGACCATAATTTTGGTGGCTTATTAAGGTTCCAAATTTGTTGGTATTTGCTATGCTGCAAGGTGTTAGAACATTCGCAACCTTTCATCAATTCTTTCATTTTATTTGATTTTAAATTTGAGTAAAAAATTTTAATTTGATATGAACTATTTCAATCCTTTCATCAAAATCTTTTTTAAAAATTCCTCTTATCCTAAATTTTCCTTTTCAAATTATTTTCATCAAATTTGATAGGAAAAAAAAAAAAAAAAAAAACTTCTCCAATACTTTATTTTTTTAAATTATTATCAAATGTAAATTTGATGAAAGATTTGTAAAGTTTTCAATTTGATGAAAACAATGACTCCCTCGATTTTATGGAATGTGATTGTTTTGAGTATGATTTATATACCGATCTTTTTATTTATTATAAAAAGACGTGTAAAAAAGTAAATGGTTGATATGACTCAAATAAGTCAATAAACCAAATTAGTTTATTTTTGTGTACCCAAAAACATTGAAAAAAAGCAACTTATTTCTAAAAAGCAAAAAACAGCTTGTTGTGGCTGTTTTCTTGGTTGGAAGGAGCAGAAATAAGCAAGATGTGAATTTATTGAAATTCCCTCATTTGTTTCATTGACTAGGGCATGCCATCATGTGGTTTAGGGTAAAATTGGAATTGCACATTATTGACAAATGATGTGATATCATATTACAATAATTTTAATAACTCAAAAAAGCCACCTAAAAAGCAATTGCCAAATACATTTGTAAAAAAGCAACAAAAAAGCATTACCCAAATTAACTCATCAAATGTAAATTTGATAAAGGATTTGTTGAAATTCTTAATTTGAGGATAATAATGACTCACTCTTGATTTGATAAATATTTAATGAAAGAGAAAAGGCGAAGGAATGGAGATGGTCTTAACCACAATAAACTAGGGAGGGCCTTTTTCTCAAATTTGGAATTGAAAAATGCACTTTCTTAGGAGTGAAATTTTGAAAAGATGGTATTTTGAAAAAGGCTTTTTAGACACACCCCACCCAAAATATATTTGTTTTTGCATAAGAATAAGACATTTTCTTAGAACAGTTCAATGTAATTGTATTAATATAAAAAAAATAAAGTAAACAAACAAGAACAATAAGGTTCCAAATGACCAAGTAAGAAACCTAATAGAAACTACAAACAACAAAATACAAAAGGCACCAAAAAAAGTTGTGATACATGAAAAACTATAAATCTTTTCAAAGATGTGGTTTGTAAAAAACAAGATCTGATCAAACCAGACGTGAAACAAAAAACAGCCTAGCCTCGCAGACACCATTATCGTCTTTCTTGCCTTGCCGCTGCCCAACTCCATGGTTACCGTCTTGGTTCCCGTTGGAAGTCCGAATTGAAGAAGGAAAACACCTACAACAATAAGTGAGGAGGAGAAAGAGAAGAGGCAACCGTTGATGAAAGGTGCCTACTACTTGCTCAATATTGTTTAAGGAAGATTGCAAACTTCATGGTTATCTAATAAAACTTTCTCTTGCAAGTTAGCGAGAAGTGCATTCACGATAAGAGATGAACAAAGAAAAAATGGAATAGTAAATATGCATTTATTGTCTTATGTACAGTGAACGGAATTGGAGATGCTGCTGTGCAGTCTGCGCAACAGCGGCTGCTGTGCGGTGAAATGGGCCTATTTCAGGACTCATTTTGATAATCTGAACCGTTTACATTTTAGAATATATCAAGTAGAATATGCTTGCAAAAAATCAAGTTAATCGGATATCGTTTACCCATTCATCCACTCACATTTGTAGCTACAAAAATATATAATAATTATGATTTAAAGTATTCAAATAAATAATAATTATGATTTAAAGTATTAAAATGAATACAAATGTGAGTGGATGAATGAGTAAACGATATCTGATTAACTTGATTTTTTGCAAGCATGTTTTAATTGATGTATTTTAAAATGTGAACGGTTTGGATTATCAAATTGAATCTCGAAATAGCCCATTTTGCCGCACAACAGCCTCTGCTGCGCGGGTTGCGCAACAGCATCCCTACTTCCAAACTGAACATAGTCTTTTGTATATCTTATTCTTTATTATGAAATTTGAATTCCTTTGTAGTGAAAGATTCACTTTTGAAAAATTTAGAAATCCCCTAGATATTGATTTGTGATTATATATCAATTTTAACGAGTAAATAGCAATCCCAATCAAACAATCAAAGACAAATCAACACAACGATTTAACGTGGAAAAACCACAATTGGAGCGCTTCCAATCTTGATAAAAAATCATGGGCAAAAGCTATAAAATAATCCACTAAGAAGACATAAAGGAATTACATAAGTGTACTCTCAATTACCTAGTGAATCCACGCCCGAATCGACCCCTATGTGCCTCTTCCAGCCCCGTCTTCACCTCGGAATTGTCTTACCCAACGTTGAATCCACAATGCCGATGTTGAATCACGACTATGAGCCACTCCGGAATCCACCAAAGCTTCAGGCTGGAATTTCACAAAATTCACTGAAGAACAACACTCTCTTTTGTATTGAACGAAACAAACAATCATTTGATGTATACTTTTCAAATTAGACTTAAACTCAGACAAACATCAAAGAAACTAGCAAAGAAGTTCCAGATATAAACCCTAATATCCAAGAAGGAGATTTGGAAGCCGTAACTGTAAAAACGGATGAAACCACATATTTATAGAAAACTGATCCGCAATTTCCGCTCGAGCGCAAGAATGGCCGCTTAAGCAGACCAACGCTCAAGCGCAAGAAGTTCCGCTCGAGTGCAAAAACACAACTTCTAGTACTTTCGCAGACAGTTCAAACTTCTGGAATCAAAGATTCTCTGCTCGAGCAGACAAACAACTTCGAATGCATTTTACATTTTGCTTCGGAGGCGCTGCCCTTGACCCTGCCTAGGCACTGCCCCGGACCTGCTAAGGGGGGCTGCCCCCTAGACCCTCGTGAGCTGACCGGGTAGCTCGATCCCCGACATAGTCAGCGAAGTGGCAAACATGAAAGAATTAACTTTAGAAAATCCTTTGCATAGGCACAATTTGGGTTGGATTCGCATCTAAAACTCATAGCCTCACTGAAATAAAAGAACGAATACAATTACAACTGAAAGGAGTTTTGTCAAATGGGATTGCTAAGAATAAAAACCTAATAACCTTTTTCAAATAAATTGTAATAGGTAATAATTATTGTTTTTGCAAACTCTACTTTCCTCAATTAAAAAAAAAAAAAGAAGAAGCTAAGAAGCTATTTTTGTGAATCTCACAAAATTAATATTTAAAATAATTTTAATTTAATTTTTCATCTTAAAAATAGTTCACATGCAACGCACGTACATTGCCACCAAAATATTTTAATAAATATAAGTATATATAATGTTTGATTAAATAAAAAATAATAAACTATAAACATTACCAAAGGGGTGGTGGATTGAGTTTGCCATCAATATCTACATACACTTTTTTCTCATTTTGTGAATCGAGCGCAACGCCACACTTACACTCATTGTTGAGTTATCACTAACTATTCCTTTTTGGGGAAGTTTGGCTATAAATTTTTTTTACCTTCCTTTCATTATTAAAAGAACTAAGAAAAAAATTATACTTTCTAAACTCTCTCATAATTATAAAATCTTGCATAAAGGACAAAATTCTCTCTCCCCACCTTCTCTGTCTTTCTCCTCCCTCTCTCCCTTCTCTAACTCCTTTAAGCTTCAGATCTGGAAGCTTCAGACCTCGCCAACACCGCCGGCATCCGATCCTCTTCCGCCGCTCCCTCTGGAATCGAGCTTTGATTCAACAGGTTAACGAGAATCACTAGTCGAAGATGCTTGACAATCTCGTCAAGAACGTTGCCTTAATTCGAGAGATCAACAGTAATATATCAAAAGTCATATCTCTTTACTCCGATCTTTCCGTTGATTTCTCCAACATCATTCAGCAACAACGCGCGATCAACAATGACGACCACGTGGAGAAGAGTGCTGGTGGAGTTGTTTGGTTATACATATTTTTTTAAACACAGATTTGAGTTTTGAATATATGCATATATATATATATGTGTGTGTGTGTGTGTGTGTGTGTGTGTGTGTGTTGTTGAACACATGTATTCTATTCATTGAGATTTATGATTGTTGATCGAGTTTTATAAGTTTTTCTTCTCAATTAGATATGTTGATTTGTTGATTAATTTGTTTTATTTTTGTTTGTTTGTTTGTTTGTTTGTTTTTTTTTTTGGATTTATTTTTGTTGTTTTTGATCTAATTTCATTTGACAGAACCAGAGTAAAATTTTACTCTGATTCTATTGCTCTGTTTTTTGTTTCAGATATTGAGAGTAAAATTTTACTCTTGTTCTATTGCTCTGTTTTTTGTTTGAGAGAATTAAGTAAAATTTTACTCTGGTGTCAGAATGACAGTAAAATTTTACTATCAAGAGGTGGTCATTGTCAAACACTTTAGCCGCCACAAATACTGCCTTCGTTTTTTTACTTTTGTGCAGAGTAACATTTTAATTTTAGTTTCAGAGTCTCACAGTTTACTCGTTTTTCAGAGTAAAATTTTACTTTTATAAAGAGTAAAATTTTACTTTTGTGTAGAGTCTAACATTTTACTAGTTTTTCAGAATAAAATTTTACTTTTATACACAGTAAAATTTTACTTTTAGCTTCAGAGTCTCACAGTTTACTCTTTTTTCAGAGTAAAATTTTACTTTTATACAAAGTAAAATTTTATTTTTGTGTAGAGTCTAATATTTTACTAGTTTTTCAGAGTAAAATTTTACTTTTATACAGAGTAAAATTTTACTTTTAGTTTCAGAGTGTAACATTTTACTCTTATTCAGAGTAAAATTTTACTCTGAAATACACAGTGAAGATGACTTAATAGGAGAGCTGATAGATATGAGGGTAATAT